ATAATAAATTAACAAATGACAGAGAACTTGAATGATGTTCGAGGACTCCACAAGACAAGAATTCATTTATAAAGAATGCAAAATTAATGGAACTTCCAAAATATATATCATTTAATTTTATCCAGCTGTTGAGGCTTTGTTCGATGTGATATTTCACCAATTATATATGGACGTATATGTATATCTAAGAATCCAGCCAAGTCCTCAAGCCAAAAAGCATAAAAAGCATCCCCCCGATAGGAAAGAAATGTTTTATTGCTCGAAGCCCCTGCCGCAAGGCCCCCAAAGGGGCGAAAGGCAATAAACAGAGGCGTAATCATTAATCATGCGCGATCAAAGTCAAAGATACAACAACAACAACAACACCACCACCACACATGTGCAGGTATGTGTGGTATCTATGTGTGCACAAGCTACAGACAGACACACAGACACCATAGTGGCACTCGCGCTTACTCAATCAAGTGTACGAGTGTTTGGGGAGAGGCGCTGCGCTGGATGGATGATGGCATGGTTGAATTGCTGGATGTTTGGCTGCTTGGCTTGGTTGGCTGCTTGGCTGTTTGGTTGGGGGCTACTTTAATCAATTTCAAACACACAACAAACCCCTGCGCTTCGGAGAAGAATGCAAGGTTCTTTGGGAGGAGGTTAAATATTATATTTGTTGTTTGAATGATGGGAGGCCAGCAAACAAACGACAATTATTTGCCGAATTTTTTCCCCCATTGCTAAAAATAAAAGAAAAACAAAATTAAAATTAAAAGTGCAAAAATTGACGAGTTTCCGTTTGCCTCATATTATGATAATTATGATAATAAGTTAAATGCAAAAATGATGATAATTGGCTGACGAGAAAGCTACGCCCTCGCTTTCAGTGCAATTTCGATAGAGACAGAGAGAGAGAGCGATAGAGACAGGGAGAGAGAGAGAGGTCCGCCCGTAAGTGAGAATGAGATTGCTCATACGCCGCATTCGCCGAGGAGCCATAAAACTATGGAAAAAATGTAGATTTTCAAGGAAATGCACTCTGCTCTGCCATATTTATGGCTTGTAGGAAAAATACAGATAAATTTTGTGTTTTTTTTTTCTTTTTTTTTGCAATGTTTACACACGGAAAAGGCCGGGGTACTGCGATCGTTTTGGGGCCAAGTGACTTGTAAAAGAATTCGTTCATCAAAGAGGGAAAACTTTTGAAGATAGATATGTAAATAATGCACCTTGCGATGCAATCCATCCGTAAACAATCCATACACTTAATCTTTATATGAATTTAAGTGGACTGCACAAAGCACGTTTATTTATTTTCATTTGATTTTATTTTTGCACTGAAATTGCGCCAGAATAAAACAAGAGTGCGGCATAAACAAACCACACTATTAGCAAAAAAAAACAAAAACCAAAAAAAAAGCACAACTCGCGCCAAACAAAACAATCCACAGAATGGAACAGAACCGAGTCGAGAGCCCCGGCAACAACAATATATCGCATCGTCTGTATCGTCTGTATCGTCCGTATATTTGTATTGTATATTTATTTATGAGTACGGGTGTGTTCCAGCGGGGTAGCCGCTTTCCCGCTATACTCTGTCGCTGGCTCTGGCTCTGCTCTGTCTCTGCTCTGCTCCCAAGTGCTTTGTGCGGGGGACAAGGGTCAGGCTCGTTTGTTGGCTGCTTAAAAATGCGAAAATCCACAAGTGGCCGGCGTCAAAGCACAGAGATTAGAGGTCAGAGCCACAATGGATAGATAGAAGGAGGCTAAGGTGACAAATGACAATGGATTTGAATGGGCCTCTTGGAACATACATATGTACACACTCGCCCAACTATCGCTTTGGCTGGCCTCACATCTCAAATATCTCAAGTGCTTAAACATTACATTCAATGGGATCCATTGCTGGCTGTCAGACTTGAAATTTATTGAAACCCCCAATGCGGACAAAAGAACAGTATGAAATTCATTCATGGAATATTTACTGGTCGGAATTTTTGCAGGAAGAATATTTCACAAAAAGAAAGAAGATAAATCGCTTTCTTTCTTGTTTATTTGCCTGAGCCTTGAACTTTTTATCGCTTTCGTTTGTGAGTCAAAGTATGGCAGAATATATCATTTACATAAACACTTTTTAGCAGGGAAATCATAAAAACTCGCAACTGGAAACGGGAACTTTTGTTTACAATTCATTTGCTCTCCAACATTTTCAAATGACTGCCAATGAAACAATGCAGTGGCAGCTCAAGTGCCTGGGTTCGAGGTTGGAGCCATTAAAAAATATTCATGATTAGGCACGCTCCATGCCCCAGCACTCACCCTTCAAAATGACAGTTTTCTCTGGAACGTTTCGGTGGCGGTGGCAGTGGCAGTGGCAGTGGCAGCGGCATACCAAATGAAACATACACAATTTAACTTGGACTTGGCCAAAAGATGCAGCTAAGTGGCCAGCGGAAACGCTGAACGCAGAAACTTTTGCCAACCCGAATGAACAACAGCAGGAGCAGTTCCAAAGTGTGCTCCCAGTTAGTTTTGGGGGGCTTTGACAAGGCCTGGGAAAACTTTCGCTCGATCTGGAGGGGGAACTATGTGTGCGCGGAGGAGTGCCGTGTCGCATGCCTGCAGGATATGCGACAACTTTGCTTGAGTTGTCCCGACATACTGACATTTGTTTAAGGATTGTTTAGGGCTTGTTGAGGACTTGAAAGTACTGCTTCTCTCTGTAAACATGTACAGTGAAGGCTCACGTGCAGCAGCAAGCATCTTTTTTTAAAGATTTACTGAAAAAAACTAAAAAGAAGCAGAAGAAAAGAATTACTAGAATATAATTCAAATTTTGCAATATTTTTCTGGTATGAATCCAATATTTTGTACAGTATGATTTCAGTATTTTTCTAGTATTTTAAGGCGAAATCTTTTTCGTAAGAAGGATTTATTAAAATAGTGAAATAAGAACATTAAGAACAAATATTGGATTAGAAAAAATGCTAGAAATTTCCCTAGCTTAGATTTTTTGCTAACCATTATGACTTGTCATAATTATACTCCTTTTTTTACTTTTTTTTTTCTTAAATATAAAGAGAATTATTATTATTTTTGTAATAAGGAAAAACAATATTTTTTCCTACAAAATAAAGGATATTGTATTGCCGTTTAGGCATTAAAAGAACCAAATTTGGTGGGCTTTTCTGGCAGATTTTGGCCCCTTCTTCAAATTCCCAAAATGGCGCCCATTACTCGAAAGTATTCCCCAAAGATTCCCTTTTCCAATACGAGTATGTTGCCGATTATAGGGCACCTATTCGGTTGCCAGTGCTGGCTCAAAAGTAAGAGAGAAAAAAGTTACTTTTGTTGTCTCTTGTTGTCCTCAAGTGTGTTGGGCTGAAACTTTTCTAATTGCTGCATAGACACTCTCCAGAAGAACCCACAAAGACGCAAATATACTTACATTTACTCGCACATACGAGTCCTAGCACGAGTGCGAGAGGTAGAAAGAAGCATTGTTTCTGCCCAGAAAAGAAAAGTTCTGAATGCGTTAAGGAAAACTCTCGAAGTAGAACAACATTTTAAGAACATCAAACAAGATGTACACGAAGTTGGGAGCTGCCAGTCGAAGCAGCAGCTGGAAATGTCTTGAGTTTCGGTTTTGGGGGCAAAGTTTTCGGTTAACTGAAATGCAAGAAAATGGTAGAATAACAATAATAATCAAATTCAGGACTTAACATTAAGAAAAGACCAGAAAGAAAGAGTTTAAGCATCAGGTAGGAAGGAAAACCATTAACTATCCAACTAAACCATTATCTCTCCTTCTCTCTCCCTCTCTCTCCGACGTTTCGTTGCAGCTTTCTCACTCGAATTCCGCAGAGAGGCGGCAACAAGTGTTCGAGGGTCCTTGCCGTCCGGGGACTAGGTCTTAGGACTGGTTCTGGGGACTGGGGACTGGGGCCATCTGGGCGTGCAGCTGGCGGCTGTGAGGTGAAGTCCCACTCGTTCACGCCATGGTAAAGCAGAATGCGGAAGCTGCGAGAACGGAAAATGGCACAACGAATGCAACGAATCTTATTGTGAAAAGCGACGGAAATGCAAACCAACCAAAGACGATGACGACAACAGCCAGGACATCATCATCGGCGGCCAAGATGGCGGAGGCTTTGTCGGCCTCATTGGCCGACTTGAGCGAACAAGAAAACGGAACGACGGGTGAGTGCCAAAAGTCTCAAGTCCCATCCCGCCCCATACCCCCAATACCCCCAGAAATGGGACAAGCTTCTGCGAATCAAATTAGTATCACAAAGTGAGCATTCTTGGGGTTTATTTTGTTCGGTTCGGTTCGGTTTTTTTTTTTCTTTCGACATCTAACAGTTGGCTCTAGGCGCGAGACTTTTGCTGGTTGCCTTGGTTTGGTCTTGAAATTGAATTACCATCCCTGGCTGTACCCCTGGCTATCCCCCTGGCTGGCTGATGTAACCCCGTGGCTCTACTTAATTTGGGTTTGTCACGATAGCGCATCAGCTGCCCCGTGCCGCACCCATTTCCTCCCTCCTGCCCACTCCTTTTGACCTGTCGCGCATTTGTTGTTTTAATTAAATTTAGCCCCACTAACCCACCGCCCACCACTCACCACCCACCGCCCACAGCTCATAATAATTATGGCACTAACAAATAATGACGGCCATGATAATACACATAGTTTACAGAGTTTTCCCCATTAATTTTGGAGTTATTTTTGAGCGGCGCGTTACCTGGGTTTAGCTCAAATGTCAGACAGGGTTAATTATCTTTGGTATTTTGTGGAGAGAGCCACCTCTGGGAAACGAACCGAAGGCCTCGAGGGCTCGAACGAAAATCAAGATATAAACTCGGCAAATATTGCGTTCTTTCTTGGCCTCGAGGGCAACCTGTTGAATGTCACTGTTTTTTCTTTGGTTTGCTTTGGTTTGCAAAGTTTTCGCTGATTTTGCCTTGGGCCTCTGGAATGAAAGAACGTTTATTGATTTCCATTCGATGGTATTTATTTTTGGGCGTTCTTTTCTTTGTTAAAACTTTACTTAAATTTAAAGAACGAAGAACAGCTTATTCCACCTGGTCTACAGCGTCTCTGAGCCTTTGTTTCTTAGCGAAATAGATTGAAATCGTTATGTACAGGAAGTACGGCAATAATACTGTCAAAGAGATGGCCAAAAACTGCTCAACATTGCTCGTGGTTATTCAAAGTAAACTCTCACCCCAAGTGATGCCCACGAATATCCAGTAGACAATACAATTTCCAATGCACATGTTCGCATTTAAATGGATGGCCATAACAGCGCTCTGCAGGACATAGACGATCGTAAATGCCAGGAAGCAGCCTTCAATCACAATGTAGACCAGAACCGGAGTGGGAGATGTCTGCATTTGAGATATTGCAGAAGAGGTAATCCTTTTATGGCACTTGTACATACCATGATCAGGGAAACGGACAAACAATTGGCAGCCACGAAATGTAGGACACCCCAAAAGACGGCGAAAGTTTCTGAACAAACAAATATGGAAGCAATATTTTCGAAATATACATATGTCATGAGTAGTTACATTTTACCTCTAATCATATTTTCGCTGGTTCTATCAAAAAATAACCCTGCAAGTAACTAATTAGTAATATTTACTATATAAACATGTATATATATATTTACTGAAGAAACCAGCCAGAGACACAATGGCCAACAGATCAGAGAAGAGGGCTATGATCAGGCCACCGCTTCGTAGCGATAGATAGCGGCAGAAATGTTTCGCCTGGAAAAACTGTTCAGCCTGGCACATTTCCAATTAATTTCAAAGCTCACAGAATAATAATAATTTGTATTTGTATTTGTAGTTGTAGTTGTAGTTTTTGCTTGTCGTTTCCCCTGACACAGATTGCCGGGTATCCTTAGATGTGAAATGATCGTAAAAAAAAACACATTTTTTTTTCTAGACTTTAAGCAAAAATAATTATATTTCCAATAGTTGTACAACCCTGCCACTTGGGGCTGTCTCAGCCTTTAGTTCCCGGTAGTAAGAGTATGTGATGTAAAAAAAATACAATGTCATTCCTAAGAGCATTAGGTATTATAGCCAAGATATGTGGAGAACAAAGCAGCATCTCACCCAGCCAAGCAACCACATATATCCAATAGGTTATATTGTGCCCGACGCTCTGGTTCACAATCAAGTTTTTGCCCATCGCAGCTGAAATAATGCTGAATACCAGCAGATACGTGACCTGGACCAAGTGCATCAGCATGGGCACCCAGAACAGAGGCAGATATTGCTGTAGGAGTTGCCAGATTAGTTTCAGACTCCACACCGATCCGATCTTACCGATATGATGGCAGCCAGCAGGACAAACGAAGCGACGACTGTCAACAGATCTGGCACAAGTTGCAGCACTGTCTGGGTTACCTGGGCTAAATGGAGGACAGGACAGTGTTAGGCCAAAATATGAGCTCAATGAAAAAAGGAAACCCACTTACCTGGAAACACATATGTGGACTCATACGCAACAGTATCTAACCAAACAGGAAAAAAATAGAAAGGGGAAAATGTAGTGGGAAAAGGGCTTGAGGAGGCCACGTTTGGGGGTTTTATTTACTATTCAATAGGTTGAAAATGTAGTCAATGTTCATTCCGGAGCAGAACAGCTGGAAGAGGGCGAACAGAATGCAGCCCGTTTGCAGGGACACACAGAAGCAGCATTTCTTGGCACGTAACATATTACAATCAAATACCATTTCATACATTAAATATAATTTTGATTTTGACAACGAACACAAAATAACCCCAATTCGAGACAATAAACTCCCCGAAAAAGTATGCTACAGTCGTGGCCGGAATTTCCCATTACAGCAAAATGCCCACTGCCTTCAGTATGACACTTCGTGCTGCATCATGGCCAGCGTTTTCTGGTAGTACGATAAAATAATATACACAAAATATGCGGAAAATACTACAACAACACACATTAGTGGAATATCAGACCGATCGTTAAGCAATATCTCACCGATCCAGCCGCTAATGAAGCCCCAATAGACCGCACTCGAATAGACACCCATCCTGACGGTCACATTAATGTTGAGCGCCGTGGCTATAATGCTATATAGAAACTGATACAGCAACTGGGTGACCTCGAACGTGAGTGTGATCAAAATCAGATGTATGAGGTTCTATTCCATTGGAGGGGGGGGGATTGATTGGTTCAAATTGGTTATTTGATCTACATTTAGATCAGCTTTCGACTCACCGTCGTGAGGGCAGTCAACAGGAAAAAGACGGCAATAATTGTTAGAAATTCGGGCATAAGTCTGAACAGTATCTGGGTGACGCCCTCTTCCCAGAAAATAAGGTTCAAAGTTCAATCGAAGAGAACAAAAGAATGATATCAGTGCAGTACCTGGAAAGACCACCGAGTCAATGTTCGTTTGATTGTCTGCGACAGACAGGCAGCCACTTCTGGGTATCAAATTAGTCAACAGATATTTTGCTTTAGCTATTTACCTCCCATTTTGACATTGAAATTGTAAATGTGCATGCTGCACACGAAAACTGAGATGATGGACAGAATGAAGCAGCCCGCCCGCAGGGACATACAGTAGCAGAATCGATTGGCTAGTATCATGTCTTGGAAGGAAAGTAACTGAAATTTTTGTGAAAATACCAAATTAAACAACCGAGTACACGCATCATTTTGAACTGACATTAAACGCAAAAAATGACATATCAGCCACACATGGCGTATACGTAATTTACATCCATGGTGCCGTCAGTCTTGAGAGCATGTGGTTTGGATTGCTCTAAGCCAGCTGCTGCTGCTGTCTGGTTCTGGGCTCTGCGCGGAGAGTATTAACTTTTTAGCATAATTTCAATTTTAGCAATTTGTATTATGGCCTCATTAGCATTAGCCAAGAGCCGCCCGCCTGCTCTCAGAGTGTGTGTGTGCGGCATGACTGGCATAGCTGGCATGCGTGGAATCGTTTTCAGTTCTCATCAAGATGCTAATGAAATTATTAAGAAAATTGAGTCTGCCATATTAACACGAGAGCATAGGCGTCGAGGGGCACACGGTGGAGGATACTTGAGTGAAGTTTAAATTGAAAAAGAACACGTGTAATACACAATACGGATTTAATCAGTTCCAAATTGAAGAGGGCACCCTTAGGACACCCTTAGGACACCCTTAGGGCACCTAAGTACGGTCAACACATTTTGGCATATAATCTTGCGGATTCTTCAACTGGTTGTATCGCGAATAGACCACAATCAGGCTGTATATATCAATGGCTGGAATGAAAGATATTGAGCCAGATTATTACAGTAGCCGGGAGTCAGGATCTGGGCCTACCCAGGGTCAGTAGAATAACGAGCACATATAGGACAGTAGATAGAGCACTACTGAAGAAGGGATTTCGCACATTAATCACCGCATGGTAGGCAATATAGTACCCAATGATGTGCACGACAAACAGTCCCATCCATATCTGTATGGACAATATGTGGTTCTGCGACAGGAGGCGGGGTAGGCAGGGATTACAGGCCACAACGAAAGTCAGTTAGTACTCACGGTCATGACGGCCACCAGCAGGATGACTGCTGCCGCAATCATTAGACAAACGTGGCCGATATTGAACCATTTGACCCAGTTATCAGAGCTCAGATCTAGCAGAGAGTGTGACAGAGAGTATTCATGGGAGAGAGATATCCTTATGCTTACTTTTCCTGAAGATAATGTCATCGGCCAGGGTGGCCGCATTCAGCAGGCCCGACATGATCGTGTAAAACGCTATTAAAATGCTGCCACAGTACAGCGATATACAGAAGCAGCATTTGCCCAGAGTGCACTTCCGTCGGTGTGGCATCCAAAATAAATATTCATACAAATGTTTGACAAAAAACGCTTACAACTTTTCAGATTTCGAACAAAGAAAAACTCTTTAAAATGTAAGGCATGCCCCAACGCCCCACCCCCCACCCCAATCAATGATAATCGCCGCTAACTTTGGTTCTTTGGGTTTGCTTTTTTTTTTTTTGGTCAGTCGAAAGTACTGTTCATCTTTAAGAAAGTTGTGCGACAATTCCCACGGCCCCCGCCCAGCCTGCAAAAACTTTCACTGCACAGAAAGTTGTTGGCCAAAGTCGTTTTCCTTAGCCTTTTCTTGCACTTTCGCCAGTTTCCTTGTTATGGCCTTTCTTGATGGCCTGGCTCTAATTGAAAGCAGCTGTTGCTACCCCGAACTGATGCCTGATGCTCCCCAATCAAGTGGAATTTTTGAAGCTCTTTTAAATTAGGGGATTTATCAGCTTTATCAAGTGCAAATTATCACAAATTTTCCAACTTCAAAGTTTTGTCTTAAAAATGTTTTTAAAGTATATTAAATTGATGAACTCTCCTATGTTTTTCTCATCAATACTCCTTCCCCCCGCAACATTATTAGACATTATTAGATGCTAATCGGATTAGAGAGTTGTAGTCTCGGTCCTCATTAGGCTGGCTGTTGGCTGTTGGCTGGTAGCCGCATATGGCCGGGCTCCTTCATGATTGATTGCAGCATCAATTTATTTGTCATTAATATACCAACATGCGACATCCAAGAGTTGCCTGAGCAAACTGTTGATGGCCCATTAAATGCCAGAGGAGGCAAGAAAATGGAAAAAGCTCTGCAACATATTATACGATCCAATCCCCCTACTCATACACACACATACATACCCCCACACCCACACCCACACCCATTACCAATAGAAATGCTCTAGCATCCTGGATCCATTCGGAATCTCTTTCAGCCACTCGCAGCATCCATCTGTCATCATTGGATTGAGTGTGGATGGGTGTTTGGGGTGGTGGCCGCCTCTGATCCCTCCCCCTCCCCCATTCCCATTCACACCCTCCCCCCGCTCTCTCTCTCTGCCCACTGTATTTATAGCATCTTAATTGAATTTCAATTTTCAATTTTGCTTTTAATTGAATTCAATGAAAAAGTGTCGATGAATCGGCATTCAGCATACGAATACCCTCCTCCCTCCTGCCACCCCCTCCTCCCCTTGTCACCCTACTGTCACACTACACTCGTCTCTGGCGCTGCTGCTATTGCTGTTGATTCAGTTGGAGCACTGGAGCACCCCGCCTGCCCGACTGCCTGCCTGTTGATGGCGCCAACGAGGCCGCAAAGCATCCCAAGTGAGCCTCCATCCTAGCACTGAGAGAAATTGATTCGGGCCGGGGCTCGGTTCAATGAATTTTCTTTAGAATTTGCAATAGCTTTTCTCGCAGTGCAGTGGCAAGTTTTTACTGCAGCAGACCCATTGGGCCACAATTGGCCTGGCTTGATGTGATTGCGCTCATATTTTGCGCACTGATTGGTTTGTGATTGACTGAAAAGTGTTGTAAATTGATTCGACTGTGGAAAGCAGTGTGATAAACAAACCCCCCAACCCCCCAGACCCCACTGTTTACCAATAAATGGGTTAGGCAATAAAAGATCCAACAAATCTAGCCCGATGGACGGGCTATCAGTATCGTGTACGGTGCCTGGTGTTTGATGTTTTATTGGGGGTCATTTTCGGGAAATCAATGCGATTGTTCGAAACTCAAGACACTTTAAAAGCTCTTAAAGACTGTAGACCTTCTCACACATTTCCATTAAGACTCGCACAAGCTTTGTGTGAAAACAGCCGCCAACCGAAGCGAATCAGACGAATGGAAATTCAAATGAATGCAACTTGCATGCGAAATGAGAAATTCCCAGGGGCACACAAACACCTCCACACACCTCCACACACACACCTCCGTAGAAGCATCTGTATCTGCAGGGCATCTACATCTACAGCGGCATCAGCAGATGTATTCGTATCTGTGCCTGCCTCTGCATTTTGCCGACTGCCTGGCTTATTATGCGGGCACACCATTCCCCATTCAAAGTGCTCATGAGTTTGCATTTATCATCTAAGCCGACCATCCCCCCCTCCGCCCCGCCCACCATGTACCACATGTCTCGCTCGATATGAGATTTATGCCACTCAACACAGAAGATGAAATGCTCATAGCCCATAGCCATGCCTCAGCCATGATGCCCGCCCGTTTGCATGCCGGGAGGGTCGTAGGTGATGATGACAATAATGCCGTGACCCATCCCCCACCCCCCATCCCCCCATCTCTGCGGGGGAGAGCCCCGAAATAAAGGCATGGAAAGCAGGAAAATATATATGCAAATTGCTTTGACAGTGCGTCCCAATATGCGTCCCACAGCTTCCAGAGTCAGCAGATTTTTGTTCTTTTTTTTTATTGGTAAAATATGCATATTACGATTCGAGATTTCCAGAATTGTGGGATTTTTTATTTTGCTTGTGGCAGAGATTTTTCCTAATCGTTTTCAGAGTTTCAGTTTTCAGATCTGAATATTCCCCAATCAATATTCGCACAAACGCCGCTCCAAAAACTATTATAGGGTTGCCCTATAAAAATATATATCTAAATTTAAGCTTTCCTCCCAATTTAGATTTTCCTTCTCTTGGAAAACACACACACACACACACACACACACCTTTATAGCAAAAATAGCTCTAGGACAGACAGCTTTTAGAAGAGGGAAACACAAGGCACGAACTATTTTGGCCATTACCGAAATTGAAAGCTTAAGTGTTTTGGGGGTCGAACAGCTGATTGACTGGCATGCCCGCCCCCTCACCCAGCCCCCAGGGCCCGAACGAAGGTGGCCGGGAAAAATAGTCATCAGCAGAAAATTGAAAAACCTGGTAGTGCTGAAAAGCAGCAGAGAAACAGTAGAGAAACAGCAGAGAAACAGTAGAGAAACAGCAGAGAAATAAGTTCTGGATGTGTGCCTGCAAATGACAACGACAGACTAGTCTTAGCCTTTTGTCTTAGCCAGGCCATTATTTACGAGCATCGTGCCAAGGACAGGCCAAAGAAGCATCGCGTCCTGCTATAGAAACTGAAGGAATATGTACGTGCCGTGCCGTGCCCCGTTGTGTCTTTGTCGTCTCTGGGCGATGGCACGTCTATTACCTTAAACGTCTGTTGCCAATTTGGCATACCCATTGCCACAGCCACATGGCCAGGAGGCATCGCTTCGTTCGCATTGACTGCACCTTGATTAATGCGCTCTGCCAGGGCACAATTTTTCCCCATTCCGATTCCATTTCCATTTCCATTTTCTTTCCTTTTTTTTTGTTTTTGCGAACACTTTCATTGTTTCCGTTTCCGTTTCCACTTCCGTTTCCGTTACGTTGTTTTGTCTCCAATTTGCTTGGGATCTGGAGCACGTTTATTCGTTTTGTGCCAGGTGTTGATTACTTTGATCGCAGAAGCTTGTGGCCGGACCTGGATCGGCCCTGGACAGAGATGTTTGCCAATTAACAAAGCAAACGAATTCCGAAGCTGAAAGCGAACCGGAACATCCTTGAATATGCGAGTATGGGGGGACACTAATCCATGGCGGTGCAGCCAGCATCCACTCCCAAGGCTTGCCACACAAATCGCACGGTTTGCCATCTCCGCTCCTCCTACGGCAACTGCTCCTTTCTACTCCTTTCTGCCCCTTGTTCTGCTATCCATTCTTGGCATGCGGCGCACGACTGAGCGTAAAAAGCTTGTTCTACTCGTACTTGTACTTGTACTTGTACCCCGCCCCACCGAAGGATGCAATTTAAAATGTTGCAGCCGGTGGCATGGGTGGCAGGTACTTCATGGCATTGCTTCCTCCACATATTTATATATTTTGTTGCATTTTACGGGCAGACTCTAACCCAGTGGCCACCCACTCAACAGGTCGTATGCGCAATATGCGCCAGGGCGCATACTTTTGGGTGTCAAAATCATAGCAGAAATTTCATTTGAAAATAGAACAGACTAGAACATGACAAGTGCTTTTAAACAATTAAAAGACCAACAAGTTTTGCCCATTTTCCTCTCCTTTCGACAGTTTCTTAGGCGAGGAATATCGATGCCAAACTGGGCATAGATTTATTTTCCAATTGCACAATAATATATAAATTCTAAGACAATGCTTTGCCGATAAACGCCTGTGGCACACAGGACACTAGCGGGAGACGCTAAGGGGGCAGGTGGTGGTGCCTGCACAGGCCCCAAACAGACGGGACATTTTTGGAGGGAGCGACTCTCGGTGCTCCCTGGCAGCCCGGCTTGGCGATCGAGTGGATCGGCTGGAGCAGGATACAAGGCCTGTAGCGACGGCTGGGAGTGTGAAGGCACTGGGTCGGGGCTGCGTACGCCAAGCGTACATAGAGTAAAACTTCTGGTCTGGTTCTGGCTCTGGTCCTGGCTCTGGTTCGAGCTGGTCAGTCCGGGATACTGTCGGACGCCAAGTGGCAGACTCTGGCAGTCGATGCTGAGCAGGAGCAGGAGCAGAAGCACCAGCTCCAGAGATGAGGCCAGGGTCAGGGGAATATAGTTAATAAATACCTGTTTCCGATGCAACCATTGCCAGTTCTAGTGCCTAAAAACCAGCTGTGATTAGAGTGAATATTAAACAGTTGGTGGATTCCTACCTTTGGCTCTGCACTTATTAAAAACGTGGCTCCAATCAATGGGTTGCCTCGGCGAATCCTGTGCCCCGAATGGACATTCTCCTACTTTCTTAAATACCCTTGGATAGCCTTGAGAGTCAAAGTAACTCAACAGGAAAAACCGAATGACCCGAAGACCCACAAGCCTACTTTTTCATTTCCTTAAAAAATACAAATAAAAATGTGTAGCAAATAGAGAACTGGTGGAGATATCCGTTTCCCCACTAAGCCGGTTACCCCAACAGCTTAACCCCGAGCCAGAGCCCGAGCCCGAGCACAGCGAGGTGGCAATATGCTTTCTTCTGCATCTTAAATTCGTAATTCAGCCACAGAGTCCTTTGGCAGCGAACTCAATCTTCCTAATCGGTTGACTCTCGTCTCCGTTCAACTGTTGTCCCTGCCCAGCCTTGACAATGTGTCTACAGCTACTTAATCGCATCGCAGATGGATCTGTGGAAGGGAAGTGGGAAGTGGGAGGCTCCATCCTGCTCCTTGATGAAATAAATTCCATGGCAGAAGCTCTAGCAGCGACCTCCTCACTGTCGCTGTCGCTGTTGCTGTCTCCGGTCTTCTGTCTTCTGTCTTCTGTCTTCTGTCCTCGGTGTCGTCGTCGGCTTCTAGCTTGTCTTCAACTGTTTCACTTTAGCCGTTTTATTTTTTATGAGCCCAAGCACTGGAATGCCACACTCGCACACATACACTCACGGGAGAGAGCATCTGTCACACTGGGGCACACACACACACATACACCCGTCTCTGGGCTGGGGCCAACACGCTTTCCTTTCACTGGATGTCAAAAGAATTCCATTCCTGTTTGATTGCAGAGAATAAACAAGTGAAGGCAACGTCAGTCCACCCCCCCAACCCCAAACCCAAACCCCTACCCCCCGTCTCTCTCAGTGTATGTGTGTTTGCCTCTCGACTTATTTTTCCTTTTTTTTTTGGCCTGCGGCTTTGGCTGAGTTTTTCCTCTTAGCTCTTGAGCGTGTCGTGACTGAGTCGTGGATTGAATCCTTTACTTAATGCGGTGTACCCATTTCTATATACATCTCGCCTGGCAATTGTAATATATACCCGTACTCGCACATTTTATAGCACACATAATCTGGATACATTTTGAGCTACATTTATGGCCTTTGGGTGAGTGTGTGTGTGTGTTTTAATGGCGATTTTTATGGCTTTTAACGATAGAAAGATTCGTCCTGGCTCTGTAAATCTGTGTTACCGAACGACAATCATCCATCCTACTCGCCCCCAAAAAGGAGCTTAACCAAAGCCCAAAAACACACACACAAGCCACAAGCAGGCCCCGCCTGAAGTGAAATCTTTGCCTAATGTTGGGCAAATGTTTGGCCCATTAATTAACCGAATAGAAAGCCAAACCGACACTTGACCCCAAACACCACTCAGACGCAGACTTGTTTTACTCCTAATTATGAAGGATATTCGGACCGGCCCCCACCGCCACATCCACTATTGATTTATTTGGTCAACTCTCGTGGGGCGACAAAATCAATTCAGTTATAAATAGGGAGACCCACAACCAGGCCAAAAAACAAAAAAAAACATACCCCTGGCAATCGGCTCTCAAATATCATGGGCCTACAAAGAGCGAGTAAAAGTACTTTAAATGCCTGTCTGTCTGTCTGCATGTCTGCCCGCCAGTCAATTAGCGGGGCATTAATCGGTGTATATCGATTTACACAAAGAAAAAGCATTAACAATATGCTAATTTATGTGCTTGAGCGTAATTTACTTTTCCAGCAGACTGTGCGTGTGTGCTGGTTGATTTTTGAAAGCTCTGAGCGTGTGCGGATACTGCCAGTATTTGCTCTTAAATCCGCCGTTGATTGCTATTTGCACTCCTCTTCCGGCAGTGTATTTAAATATGATTCTTCCCCTTTGCAGAGAGTAATTTGGGTGAAAGTTGAGAGATTATAATCCGAGTATGTGGCCATACTCTATGGGTATTATTTATTGATTTTCCCCCATCGATTATTATGGCCCCAAAAGGTAAGTGGCATTCCGATCAACCAAGAACATTGTCCTGGCAGCTCAATTGTGGGGCCAATGAAATGGGGATATGGTGTACAATTAGTTGCCAAATGCCAAATTTAGCGGAGAAGGTCAAGAGCCCAAAGGCCGCTGGATGCCTTCCAAAACATAGTACTCGCATGTAGATTAATTTTTAAGGACACTCGGTAGGTAAATGTACTTATTTTGTTTGCCTTTGCAGCTGAGGACATCCACCTGAATGACTTGTACACCCGCTACCGGCAGAGGCTGCGCAAGTCGCTCTTTACGTCGGGCCTGTTGACATCATTGCTGGCATCTGTGGTGTCGATAATAATTGGCATCGTTTACGAGCAGGTAAGCACTCGGCTTAGATGCGGACGACGCGCGGAGTCGCTGGGGATCTACAGGCATATGTGTTCCTTCCACAGCACCTGGTGCAGACGCTCCTGCTGGCATTGGCGGCCCTTATCTCCGGCTCCATACTCACGGCCCTGCAGTTCCCGGCCGTGCTCAGCTCTCCGGCGGCAGCCTTGGCCTTTGCCATCGTCACCACCTTCTCGCTGGGCACCATTGCGGCCATAACCGGGGACGAGCTGGCCCCTTTGCCCATGTATGCATTGTTTCTGGTAAGCCCTCCTCCTGCCTCTTCCACTAAGAAAAGGATTACATACATATCTCTTATGTGTGTGTGTGCTCGTGTGTGTGTGTGTTAATTGCAGTGCATCCACTCCATGCTGCCCATATCGTGGCCCGTATCCGTGGTGCTGGCTCTATTCATGACCGCCATCCACATCGTTTACCGGATCGGCACCAGCCCGGACTATGCACCCGATTTGCCAATGGTAAGTCCCGCCATTCATTTCCACTCTCCATACAAATGATTGGATTATTTGTCATCTGGTGGGGGGATGGGTTTGGGGTTGGGCCTGGGGCCTGGGGCTTGGGGGATTACAATGTGGAGAGTTGTCTCCGTCCGGTCTCGGTCAGCAATTAGTTAAATGGGGTTTTACGATCTTAAGGGGTATCCTCTGCTGGGATTAAATGGGAATCAACGTATGGATTATGGCATCCCGCTCTTTGTATATTTATTTGGAAACAAGTGGTGCATACTCCGATTATACTGTACCTGAAAAACCATTTTCTACACACTGAGAAAAATTCCCGGAACTATAGTATTTACAAATTTATACCAATAGATTTGCTCCGACAGTGGTTTCATGTTTTTTTTTCGACTTCAATTTTGACATATATAAACAAATATTTAATTTAAATATATTTTATATTTAAATTCAATATTTTTTATATTTTTAAAAACATTTCTTTAAAAAAATATATATATATGTCATATTTAAATAAAAAATATTTTTATATTAAAAAATGGAATTGTCAAAAATTTAAAAATGTATTTCTTATTTAAAAATATTTTTCATGCTTTGCACATTTACATATATTGCAAACATTTCATATTTAAAATCAATATATTTCATATTTAAATTAAATATTTTTATATTTAAATTATTTTCACATTTATATTAAAAATATTTCATATAAAAAAAAATTATATTTCGTATTTCAATAAAATATTTATGAAATATATTTCCAAAAAATATGATAAACTATATTTATTTAAAAGTTTGTTTTAAAAATGTTTTTTTTTTTAAATCCAATATTTAATTGAAGTTCTGTTTATAAAATTACATTTTTTTCGGAGTGCATTCAACACTCAACTCGTTTCATTCTCAAAAGCTTAAATAGCTTCAGCATTATCACGTGGATAGAAATAATTAGGTTCTGAGCTCGTTTCATTTCCCTCCACCGTACCCCTATACATCCATCCATATACATATATGTACACACATGTGTATGTGTATGGGTGTGGGTGTGGGTATGGGTATGGTTATGGGTATGGGTATGCACGTAACGACTGTGGTTTTCCTCCCACACAACAAACACCCATGCACCCCCTCCAGCGATGCCTCGTTAATTAGGCTGCATCGCTGCATCCTGTTTTTGCTTGCCAACCGCCCCTCCTCCCCCTCCCCCCCTTCTGGTGCAGCGGGGATAACGATGCGTTATGTGCTGTGCGCTATGCGCTGCTGCCACGTAATTGCCCGGCCATCGTTTGGGTTGTACATTCGTTATTTACGACTTTTTCTAGACACTTTTTCTCCCTCCCCTCCCTCATAGCTCTTTGGGGAGATTGTGATGCTGGCCAGCGCCTCCATTTCCGGTCTTTACTATCGCATCATGTCGGACGCTGCCCACAATCGCACGGTGGACGGCACCCGGACGGGCATCGAGCAGCGCGTAAAGCTCGAGTGCGAGCGGGAGCAGCAGGAGCAGCTGTTGCTCAGCGTGATACCCGCGTACATAGCCGCCGAGGTGAGTACTCCCCCCAAGAATCGGGCCTTGTCTCTGTGTGGGCTAATCGTTTGCGTGTGCAGGTGAAGCGCAGCATCATGCTCAAGATGGCCGATGCCTGTCAGCGGGCCGGGGGCCAGGCCTCCACGTCGGCCACACGCTTCCACGAGCTGCACGTCCAGCGGCACACCAATGTGACCATACTGTTTGCGGATATTGTCAACTTTACGCCGCTTTCCAGCTCGCTGACGGCCAGTGATTTGGTCAAGACCCTCAACGATCTCTTCGGGCGCTTCGATCAGATTGCTCAGGTGCGTTAATGGTGATAATCACAGATGATACAATCATTATATATGTATGTACATTAATCCTTGCAGGAGAATCAATGCTTGCGCATCAAGATTCTGGGCGATTGCTATTACTGCGTGTCGGGCCTGCCCATTTCCCGCCCACAGCATGCAACAAATTGTGTCAACATGGGCCTGCAGATGATCGATGCCATCAGGTGAGTGCCCTGCCCTGCCCTGCCCTGCCGTGACGCTCCCCTTTTGCCTTTTTCCTTTTGCCTTCTGATTCTGCTTCCACTTCTGCCCCGATGGTTCGGCTGTTCGTTCCGTGGGTTCTGTCAACATGGGCTCCGTCATCACGTATACGGCATGTTGTCTTTGCCCACCCGCCTGTCTGTCGGTGTGCCTTTGACACTGACTTTCAGTTGGCTGAGCGTTGGCAAGGCCATTCGACACTCCCTGATTGTTGGTTTAGTGTCCAGTTGTAAATCTTTGTTACATTTTCGGTTAAATAAATCATTTTGTGGCTGGATTGAATCTGTTTCCAGTTTCCATATGCCATATGCCATGCAGTTTCAAGAATTAAATTGAACTTAAAACAGCCGTCATGTGCAGTCCATCCAATTTGCAAAGCAATTAAAGGTCTGAGCTTCAAGGCCTTAATTGCCGCCAGATAGCCACGTATTCCGGCATTTCCTCGGCTTTATTCGGGGGCCCCATTAAAAACGTATTATGCAATAAAGAAGTAAGCAGAGGCAGAGGCAGAGGCAGAAACATCCCATAAAATACAATAAACAATATCGACACAAAAGCCGTTTTATTACACGCGAGGATTTATGCACACAAGTGGCGGCCCCAGGATCAAGAAGGAGTCTCTTTCGTTTCACTTTCACTCCCCATTTCCATTTCCATTTTCATTTTATTTGATTTTCGCTCGCTGTGCATTTTCATTGTTTGTGCGCTTCGCTTCGCTTTTCTTTTTATTCTTGCTGGTGCCTTTTCAGCTTTTCAGCTTTTGGCCTTTTAATCTTTTGCTGCTGCCCAATGGCTCGGCCCCTCTCGTCCCTACCCCTACCCTACTTTGGGGCAAAATACCCCTCAAGGAGCGTATATTTAATTATGTATTGCTTTTGGGACTTGTTTAATAACGCTCCTAAATTATACATATATTTTCCATTCGAGTTTGGATAAAGTCACCCAAAAGATTTGAAAACATTTGGATATATTATTCAATCAATGGCAACTTTTCCCCATTGGAAAGTTTTGCCACTCAGATATTCAGGGAACAAGAAAAATATGTACATACGGGCATGCTCCGGGGATCGCCTTCGATGCGGCTCATTTAACCCAGGACCCAGTCCGGGAGCAGCATTCTGCTGGTTAACGTTAATAACTCAAGAACTTGTTGGTCTAGCCTTCGACTCAAACGAGGGGAGCTTCAAGTGACACAAGACCCTACACAAGACGTGCCACCCACTGGCGCACTGTTGGACCTGCCCTCGCCGGAAGGCTCCGCAAGTAGAGTCGACTCGGACTTGGCCTGTGTTTTATGGCCCATAAAATTGTTAATACGAATTCTATGCTCCAACTAGCCTGCAGTTCGTATCCTTAGTAATACATACCAAAGCCCCCCACCCCACACACCTCATTGTTTGGCTGGGTTTGGTTTGTTTTGTTTTGTACACCTCTCGTGCTCTCGTATAAGTAGCCTTCCCTTTGGTGTGGTCTGGTCTGGTGTGGTCTGGTTTCCTTGGGCTTGGAGCCTCCTTTCTCATTGTTTGCCCTTCGTTTTTCTTCCCTGCAGACACGTGCGTGAGGCGACCGGCATAAATGTCGACATGCGAATCGGCATCCACACTGGCAACGTTCTCTGCGGCGTCCTTGGCCTACGCAAGTGGCAATTTGATGTTTGGAGCGATGATGTTACCCTCGCCAACCACATGGAGAGCGGCGGTGTTGCCGGGTACGTACATATCTACATATAAGTGTTTATGTAAGACACATAGATACATAGTGTGTGCGTGTGTGTGCGTGTGTGTGCGTGTGTGTGTGCACTTGCCTTATTTCCCTATTATACGAATGATGAATGCCAGCAACAACAACAACAACACAATGACTGTACCAAGCAGGAAGGTGTGTAAAAAATACATGCATATACTCGCACATATAGTAGGGAAAACACAGCCCCAGCGGGAGACGATATAACGTTGAATGGGGGTGCTGAGGGGGCGGGGGGAGCACTAAAACGAGTCAAGCTGTCGTAAGGGCAATTTAAATTAGCCCCCATATAGGGGCAATTGAGAGGGGCTCTCAGTTGGGGTCCTCGATGCCAGGGACAGCTCCTTTTAAATAGGAGAGAGAGAGAGCTTAGGCGAGACATCAAAAAGGTCTGCAAAATATATACCAATAGTTTTCCACAGAGAGTGGAAATTTGTAAAGAGCGCAAAGACATTAATAAAAAAATATTTTATTAAAATATCTTGTATATTTCAAATAAATATACCCATATTTAAATCAAATATTGCACATTATACATATCTCAAATATAATTTCCTACAAATTCAATAAAATATAATTATTTGCAAATAAATAAATTAAATCAAAATAAATTTAATTTAATTTAAAGAAATACATTAATACAAAAATATTTCATTAAAATATCTGGTATATTTCAAATAAATATACATAGTCCAAATTGAAATCAAATATTGCACATTATACATATCTAAAATATAATTTCCTACAAATTGTATAAAATATAATTATTTGCAAATAAATAAATTAAATCAAAGTAAATTTTACTCAATTTCCCTGTGATTGAACCCCTTAAAAATCGAATTTTTCATTGAAATATGGGGGGGGGGGCTTTTCTCTTAGTGTAGTGCGAGTAGTCAAGGTAGATAATCATTGATAAAAGTCTGGACGTAATGAAATGTGTAAATGAAATGGAAATGACTTGTAGGTCCAATGGGAATACTTTAATATCAAAGGTTCCACAAAATGGGATTATTCTTGTTGGCTTTTTGCTATAATTTATGTACATTTCTGCTGATCAAAGCAGTTTTCTTTATATCGGATTAACAGAAGTGATTGATGTTTACAAGCGACCCATAATTTGTTCTTTAAATGTTATACATTTGCGTCTACTCGATTACGATTCATTATGGGAATCGAACATGTGGAAATGTGTTTTCCTTTCACTTAAAGTTACCGTTACCTGTGGTCACACACACACACACACACACACACACACACACACACACACGCAGACGTAGAGTGCAATTATTTGAAATTGAATTGAATTGCTCAAGTCAATGAGCCGGAAAACACTCAGACGCCTCAATTTCGGCTTCACGCACGAAAACCCTTCGTATCCGAAAGCGAAAAAAAAGCAAAAAAAAATTACAGAAGGGCACATCCGCATAGATAAGCATTTGCATGTGTGTGTGTGTGAGTGTGTGAGGGAAATGAAAATAAACACCGATTACGCATACGCCCCGTGCGCCCGCCCCTGCTATGAGCAACGTCATAATTTTGTCATCGCTTGTGTTTTTTTCTGCAGACGCGTGCACATTACGAAGCAAACTCTGGATTTCCTGGGCGACAAGTTCGAGGTGGAGCAGGGGGAGGGCGGCAATCGGGATCCCTATCTGGCGGATCACAAGATTGAGACGTATCTGATTGTGCCACCCAGGCCGGCCTACACCTACAGCGTGCCACGTGTGGTGGAGTGCATCGAGCAGAGCGATCCCAGTCCCACCGAGGAGGGCAAGGACGCTGTGGATTCCCACGAAGAGAAGCTGCTGCCCACCTTTATGGAGCAGCCTCCACCGCTGCCCGATGAGAAGATGTCGCCCACTTCGATCAATAGCCAGGAGGTGCCCCTCCATGCCACTCTCGTCTCGGCTGCCTCCATGTCCATCAAGGAGCTGTCCGAGGAGGAGGAGGAGGAGGGCGAGGATCCCGACGAGGCAGCCGCTGTCACCGAGCCACTGATGGTCAAGCAGGACCAGGACGGGGAGGACCAGCCCAAACAAAATGGCGCGCATCGTGGCAGCGGCGACTCGGCCGCCTCCGAGTCGGCCGTCAAGTCCGCGGCCCTGTCCCTGCCCGCCGAGGATCTGCTGAGCATGAGTGGCAGCGAGAGCGGCATCTCCAACAGCGGCACCCAGGCGGCATCCTCCAATCCGGCCAGTGTCACGCCCACCACACCAGCGCCAGCGGGTGGGGCATTGTCTGGCCCCAACAGCCTGACGGTGGCCGAGGCGCCAGAACGCTCGCGCCGAAAGCTGTCCGTACAAGGTGAGCAAGGGAACCTTATCTCCAACAAAAGCCAGGCAAAAGCCACCCTGCAAAATATCGTATACCATCGAAATGTATGGGCGTTCCGCATCGTACTATTTATGTTGTGTTTGGTTGAGGTTAACCATTAATCACAGTACCTTTGAGCGTTAGAGCCGAGAAATATAACTTTATTTAACCGCCCCCAATCTGTCGCCCGCCAGGTCTGATGTCCTTTGCCGACAGACGCCGCTCTTCCGGGGCCTTCATCGAGGGACGCAAGTTGTCCATCCACAGCGGCGAAAGTTTCCGCAGTCATGCGGGTAAGTTCTGGTGGAAATGGCGGTTGAGTAGCCCCTTTCCGGTGGTGCGCAACAGTTGAAAATCACTTTCACAAATGAGAGACCAGGCTATGCATAATTTTATCGCTGGCGGAGCAACTTTCGCATCGTAAATTTGAACAGAGTATTGCATTTGTTTGCCGGATTGCCCAGATTGCCCTTTGTGAAAACTTTCGCCGTTCCACTCTCCATGCACGTGGCCATGGAATGTGCACCGTAACCCGTGGAACGTGGACCGTGGACCGTGGAACGTGGACCGTGGACCAGGGCAATTAAGCTCCTTTGACAGCCAGCGGAGTTTTGTTTGGCCTTTTTTTTTTGGGCGATGAGGTGGTTTTGTGTGCTGGTTTATGAGTTTTAATTTGCCAAGGACATTAAGTGCGGCTTGTGGCATGTGGCAAAGTGAGTTTGATGGCATTTTTAATGCAAATGGTTGACTTTAAATGAGCTTGTCTGACGGACCATAGAAGCTGTTTGCTAAGCATTTCAGCTTTTCACGTGCCCCAGAGCGACATAGTTTAAAATGTTCATTAATAATGGATTTCTGGTAGAGCGATAAAAGTTACAAAATGTTTCCAGGGATTCCTGCGGAATTGCTGGGAATATTCTCACAGAGGTGTACTTTATTGGATCAGAATGATCAGCATAGGCGATCATAGCTGCTATCAACAGGATCCTGCCTAAAGAAGACCGCCAAGACTTTTGTTTAGTGCAGTCTAATGTTTCAGTTTTCATATGCCGCTCAATGTGGCTCTGGGGAGGCGTTGCATATGGAGTAGGCCACAGAGGATCACAGGTCTTTTGGTTATGGGAGGGCGGCACACAGACTCCTTTTAGAGTTGAGTAATCCCTTGTTCGAGCTGCTCAAGTGTCTCCTGTATTCTCCTGTATTTAAGTGTGGCAAACCCAATTTGCATCTTCAATCCTTTCAGGACATGTCACTCGAAATCGGCCCTCGTCCAAGATGACGAAATACGTGGAATGCTGGGGCGCAGATCGACCCTTTGCGAATATAGCCGAATCGAAGCTGGTGAAAAATATTGGACTGGCGGTGAGTTGATAGCAAAAACACTTTGTGCGAAGACAAAGTGTAAATTGCCAGAAAATAAAATCAAATTGGATACGGCTCGAGCATGGTATAGATGAAAAATGAAATTATCTACGAGATAGCTGTAGCTGTAGCTGGAGCTGTGGGAAGTGGGAGTGCTTGTGGCAGGCAAACTTTATTTATTTTGTGTCCTTTTTCCACTTTTTGCCCGCACAGAGCATCGCCATGATTGAATCAAATTTACTTCCACCGGAGCGTAAATGTTTCAATTTTAATTTCTTCGGACCCCCGACGGAGCTGAAGCCGTTCACCATGTGGTACCGGAACACACCCCGTGAGGCCATGTACCGGGCCCAGCCGGACACGCACTTCCGGTACGACCTGATATGCGCCTTCGTGCTCTTCCTCTCGCTGGCCATCGTCCAGCTGATTGTAATTGAATTGTAGGTGTGAGATCAACCCCCACCCCCCATAAATGTCCATACTGACTCAGGTCCTGGCTTCTCTTTGTCGCAGGAACCTGGCCCTGCTCGGCTCCCTGCTGGCCAGCTTTGTCTCCCTGGGCCTGTTCCTCTATCTGAGCAACATGTCCGTGCCGGATGTGCATGCCTCTGCCACGGAGCGCAACGGTCCCGGCCAAGTGGTGGCCAGCAGCCGCTATCTTCGGCTGGCCATGTTCATCATTGTCAACATTCTCATCTCCTCCTGTGCCGTGTTCAGTGTGGTAGGTATTGCATATCGTTGCCATGGCACATCATCTCCCAATAAATGTGTCGTTTTAGATTAACTTTACGTTGCCCGAGGAGCTGGGCAGCGAGCCCTTGAACGGCACCGCCCTTCTGGCCGGCAATTTCTCGATGGACTTCGCAAATCTCACCCTGTTGGAGGAGAGTCTGCAGCCGCTGGACATTGCCCATGCCATACCCATTGCCCCCATCTTTCTGTACTGCTGTGCCATCAGCCTGGCGGGGATTTCGGCCTTCCTTCGATCGGGTTTTATCCTGAAGCTAATCGCCATGCTGGTGGCCTTGATAGGGCAGGTCACAGTGCTGGGCTACAGTGATCTCTACGTACAGTACAATCGGCAGAACATCGAATATGGGTAAGGGCTGTCCAAAGACACCTCCGTGCATCCGTCTGCATTCCGTTGTTCGATTCCCCCAGGTTGCCCTTGGAGATCAAGGGATTCCTGCTCTTGATGGTGGTCATATTGGTGTTGCACACTCTGGATCGCCAGGGCGAGTATGTGGCACGCACGGATTTTCTGTGGAAGGCCAAACTCAAAGTGGAACAGGAGGAGGTGGAAACGATGCGGGGCATCAACAAGGCAAGTCTCACGTCCACCGAAACTTATAAGAAACATTTGAAATTTTCCAATTTCATTTCAGATTCTGTTGGAGAACATTCTGCCCGCGCACGTGGCAACGCATTTCCTGCACTTGGAGCGCTCCACAGAGCTCTACCACGAGAGCTACTCGTGCGTGGCCGTCATGTTTGCCTCGATACCCAACTACAAGGAGTTCTACGACGAAACGGATGTCAACAAACAGGGCCTGGAGTGTTTGCGTCTCTTGAACGAAATAATATGTGATTTCGATAAGGTAGATCCCCCACCCCGCTTGTATTTTGGTAGATCTATAGCCTACCGTCTTGGTATTCCGCATTTCAGTTGTTGTTGAAGCCAAAGTTCAGTGGCATCGAAAAGATCAAAACTATAGCCAGCACCTATATGTGCGCCTCGGGTCTGAGGCCAGGCAAGGAAGACGGCGCTACGGTAAGAACCCATATTCCCCACCCCCCCACGTCTGTACATGTGTGTATATCGTCTTGTAATCCTTGTCTTTTCAATGCTTTCACTAATCTTGTAAATAACAACATTCCAACACTCCCGATACGATTGACTAATCTAGTCACGTAGCTTTGCGGTAAGTCTCTCTTCAAAACATGTACAGTCCTTTCCTTCTGAAAGTTAGTCAAGTGTGTAAAATGTTAAAAGTTTAACAACAAGAATATCATTTACCCACACTCAGAGAAAAATGGCATAGTAAAAGGGAACGCAGTCATATTTCAATTATATATTCGGGCTTCAAATAAGAGGAAAAAGAAAATTGAAAATAATTCACTTGGACTTAAACATAAATGTTTTAAATATAAATATAAAACACTTTAGAATATATAAAATATATTACATTTTTGGGACGTATATTTCATTAAAATATTAAATATATTTTATTTAAAAATAAATTATATATTTTTTATATATAAAATATATTTAATATTAAAAAATATATATTTCATTAATATTCTATCTAAATATGATATATATTAAATTTAAAAAACAAATAAATATTTTCTAAATATGAAATATATTTTTTTAGATATAAAATATATGACATATTAAAAAAAATATTTCATTAATATTTTATCTCAATATGAAAGATATTTAATATTAAAGATAAAATATATATTTTCTAAAATGAAATATATTCAATTTACATACCAAATATATTTAATTTGAATAGGAAATATAAATACTTTTTAAAGATGAAATATTTGTAATTTTAATATGCATAATATTTCATTTAAATTTGAATATAAGTATATATTTTTTAATCTATTCGATTCTTAGGGGCTTTTTCTCTGGGTTGCAGAGTTTGGCGTTTAAATGCTTGCAATTAAATTTAATCAGATTCCCACGTGCTTCTTCCAGTCGTTCAATGTGTTACAGTCTGCTTAAATGTTTAAATATATGCGAATATATAGAAATATAAATTACACAGCATGTTCTGACATTCAATTAAATGCTTGCAATTAAATCTAATAAAAATTCTTTTAAAATTGCACCCAATCCCCTTTATGTGCTGGATCCTCGCCCCAATTGGAGCAAAATGTTATTTACTGTTCAAATGCCTTTTAATCGCAGCTTAGAACTTTAATTAAATTTTTATAACTACCAAACAAAAGGGAAAATCAAATCCCATTGGATCCCAACAAAAAAGGAATGAAGGAGAGAAAATAAAATAAAAAAAGGGTCGCCAAATGAGGGTAGTAGTCCATTGGGCAGGAATTAGGATTAGCTAGAGCTAGAGGCCAGGGGCCAGGGGCCAAAGGCGAGAGGGACGGAAAAACGCTCAATTGGTTTTCCGGGTTGGGGGTACAGGGCAATAAAGACAAAATCGAATCCAGGACTAACGCAATTTACTCTCTCTCTCCTTTCCGCTCTGAATAAAAAGGATGAAAAGCGCACCGAGGAGCACAACGTGGTCATATTGGTTGAGTTTGCGATTGCTTTGATGTCCATATTGGATTCGATTAATCGCGAATCGTTTCAACGTTTCCGTCTCCGCATCGGCCTCAACCACGGCCCGGTCATTGCGGGCGTGATTGGTGCCCAGAAGCCACAATATGATATTTGGAGTAATACAGTTAACGTTGCCTCCCGCATGGACTCGTGCGGCGTCATGGGACGGCTACAGGTGAGTCTACATAGAGCACCATAGATTCCACTACATTATACATATTCCATACATTTCCATCCATGACAGACAACGGAGAATACAGCAAAGATACTGATGGCCGCCGGCTATGAGTGCGAGTGCCGTGGCCTCACCTACGTGAAGGGCAAGGGAAATCTAGTCACCTACTTTGTAAAGACACCATTCGATGGGAAATTGTAGAAACATCCTCGACGGACTTTAATACTATTTAAAGGATATATTTACACATACATATATGTATAATCTTAGCGTCACTTCAAGGCATCTTCTTATTTATTTGCTTAGCTTTTCATTTTAGTTTTTAATAAATATGCAAGCATTTAAAATACGTTGCACACACACACACACACACACATGTTAAGTATTTGTTAGCCAAAATTTTGTTTTTTAGTTAGTTGGTAGATGTTAAAATGTTATTAAATATTTCGTACGATTTATGCATAGCGATCACTTAAACAGCGAATAATTATATACATACATATGTACGATTCGAATTAAAATTATGCTAGACAAAGAAAATGCAAATCAATCCCCAGAAATTATCACCCAATAAATATAGCAAACAAAATACATATATGCTTATATCCTTATAGTAAATTTACTGAGCCAGTCTAATTCACATTTAAAAATGCGAGTATGTATGTATTTTCCCTTCTTCCGCTATAAATAATTTGTTATATATCAATATATTTATGTATATTTATGTGCCATGGATCATATACTGTTTATATACTTTCGAGCAACACTAGTTTTAATTCTTTTAAAGAATCAAAAGCAAACTCAAACTAAAACTCTATATATTTTTTTACTAAAACCTTTTTTTTACTAACTATTCAGAGCCCCAAATAACGATGCTACATGTATCTATATTACTGTCTAAGATAAAGGCCACCAAAGTGAACTATTTTTAAGAGAAATATGAGCTCAATAACTGCATCTTGAGTACCTAACATATCCCAACAGAATATGTACACTATACCTCCGATGGAAACAGATTTGCTATAAACACAGATGGATTTCTATTTCAATCTATTTGTAAACTCTCTACTTCCCCGAAACTATTAAGCTATCTATATTCAAAACAAAACAACAAAAAGCATCCAAAGCATATATGTAATCCTCAAAATGCAGTAGTTCTATAACTATGATAGATCCATTGAAATATATGTATTTGATATTATTAAATTAGCTTGAATCTATGAAAATTCGTAGAATATTAATAAGTAAATAAATTAAATCCTTAAAATATGTGGTTTTTATTTTCAAGAATATTTTTGTACAGTATTCTCCAGAGTTCTCAAGGGTCATGGAGTGTAGGTCAGGTAATATCATCGGTCAAACGGATCCTTACCAATTTTGGGATTGGGATTCTATTTCAGACTATAAGAGAACACAAATAAATATGCTGTGAAGATGGACCATTGACCTAAACAAATAGGCAATGGAACAGGCAGTAATGATGTATTTATGGCAGCAAAACGCGACCGTCGTTTTATGGCGGTAAAACCATTGCAAGCCATTTTAACTAATTGTATAAAAGACGCACATTTCACCAAAATAAAATCAGTAATCATTGAAAACTCATTAGCTGAACATGTTATTTGCTTGGAATGGAATTCTTCCTCCAGTAATAAATAGCTCGAGCCGCAGGATTTTATAACTGATTACCTACGGTACTAGGCGATTACTTTGGGAGTCTATAAAGGATAACAATCACCGATAGGGCCACGTATCGTAATTTTGAATCAATTACAACAGATCAATACGCATGATCCTCAACGACGACTGAACACAGTTCCAAATGTTGGTCTGCCACCAGTTAATGTGATGGAGAAATGTTTTATAGAAAGATATTGATTTAGTGGATAGAAAGTGGATAGTAAAAGCGGTTTAGGCGACCCCTTATACGAATACCCCTCCCTAATTCAAATATTATTATGATTGGAAACAAAAATTTCTCAAGTTCCTTGCTTCGGAGAAAATACATCGATTCATCTCGCTCTGATCTTGGTTTACAAACAGAATTCTGTTCTATAAACAATCTAGGAAAATTAATGCTTAAGTCAGCGAAGTTCTCCCTTGGCTGGCATCGAATATCATCAGATCGATAGGTTTGTTTATTCCATCAAGGAGTGGTTGGTCAGCGTTTGCCGATCTCCAGTAAAAAGGGGCGCAAAGCCCCTAATCAGCGCTCAAGTGGCGATTAAAGTGGATCTGCCGCTCCAGCATTTCAGTTTCCATCAAAGCGTCGCAAGTGGCAGTGCGTCAGTGCGTGTTCCCAGGTTAAATGTGAGTGCGCTTACTTTTGAAATAAATATATGTATATATTTGACTTATAAAAATGTATAAACTAAAACTAATTAAGATCTAAAGAAAGAGATTCGAATCCGAACGTTAGGTCAAGACGGATCTGTGTGTTGCGGAGTGGGCTCTCGGCTAAAGATTCAGTATGAGAAACAAAAGACAGAAACAAAACGTATAACAAATCACAGAGCAAACAGCAAACAATATCAAGAACCAAGTGATACCGTTTCGTCTCTAAAAGTGCGGCAAGCACACCTTCCCCGCAAACAGTTCCGACACCACGGTTATCCACAGTGCCAGCACAAACATAATGTAGGATATGCCAATCTTAAAGGTATTGGGCAGCTGGTAGGCCTGTCCCCCGATCTCCTCGATGTGGAAGCCCAATGGAAAGACAACTGCGGCCATGCAGAACAACACCATGGCCGCAAAGCCCACCCATCGGGCATAGGGTATGACATTTCGATTGCACGACGAGGAGGCCAGCAGGATCACAGTCGTTGTGATGCAAATGCAGCCCATGAAAATGCATACCAATGCAATCAGCCATTCGGGCTGTAGGTCGGGGGTGTAGCACACTTGTGGCCGGTTGTAGAGGGTCATGCAGGTCCACATTAGTCCCAAGCGTATGTCTCCTGAAATATAATAGGGTTTGTCAGCAATGTTTTCATGCGATTTGGAAAGCCGTCTTCCATCACTTCCTCATCACCTGTGCCCGACTCGGTAATAATCCAATCAGGCAGCGCCAGACTCACTATGGCAAACACATCGGCGGCCATAAATAGCGTTGCACTTATTGTTGTTAATTTATCCATATTATTCCGTACAACAGTTTTGTTTTGGTTTTTATTGGAAAATGTTTTGTTTTTCTTTCTGCTTCGTCTTCAGTGATAAAATATACGGTCTGACCCTCAGAAATATACCGTCTAATTTTCAATATATACTGCAAATATACCGATGTAAAAACGAACTTAGCCCACTTAACCCCCCTTTTATTTAAACAGATGTGCCACTTGAGTTAAACAAAGAAAAAAGTACAATTTGTAAAATCTTTTGCTAGATAAATTATTTCTCTTTGTTTAAACAAAAACAAAAAGGCCAAAATATCTTTAAGTTGTATCATTTTCGTGAACTGTATATTAATACCCACTGTATGACAATGGGTTAATCGTACTCTGTCTTTGATCATCGATTATGAAATTCGGTTGAGATTTACGTGCTAGCCAGGATATTCAGCCCTGATTGATGAATCATTTTCCTACAAGAATTTAACCACTCCCTTTTATTTGATTATGTAGAAAAAAAGGTTTAAACAAAAGAGGTAAATTGTCTTACATGGTAACTACATGGTAACTACATATTTGAATCCAATCGACAGGATAATCGCTAGAACTGCGCGACAAAGTGAAATTGCTTGAAAAAACTGAATGCAATCCAGTGGAAATTGAGAAACGTTTTAGTACGATGCAGGGAAGCACGATTAGAGAGAGAGAAATTGAAAAGGCCTGCGTTTGGAAGTTTATATACCCTATCTTTGCTTTATATATTTGCTGCAGCTGTAGCGATTATTCTACATAATATGTGCCATCTGTTGATATTTACATGAACTCATAACATTTTTCGATAACATTTTCATTCCCTCATTTTCTTTGTACTATTTTTTATTCTCTCAATATATTTCCTTAAATCAATCCGATTTGCAACTTCTTCCTTTTTTCTGCTTAAAAAGGAAAAAAGAAAAGAAGAAGCAAGAAAATATCAGAATCGATAGACCACATATCTCTAATGCTTGTTCTTGGAGTTAGTTCAAATCAACTGAACTTAACTAGAACTGGCAGTTGTTTTTAAATTGAGCAAACAAATGAATTGCACATGCTCAAATTGTAATACAAATTAAAAATTAATTTTTATTCATTCAATTTGGTTCTATTATTAAAAAAAAAAAGAGTAATAGAGATGTGCTCGCACTCGACTCCCTTTCCTATTGAACTATTTATAGATCTGTAAGATAATTGCATTTATACTTACAGCGGCACTACTTCGAGTAGCCTCGAGTATAAAAATAATACTAGTACTTACAATATAGAATTCTAAGCGTAGCGGCCACGTCACATGCCTGGTCAGCTGGCGCTGACGTGTCCTTAGTCTGCTTGTCCCTCCAGTTGAACCCTAGTTAAGGGGTCAGGTGAGGGGTAGGTTTGTCCGTGTCCGTGTCCGTGTCCGGGTCCGTAAGCTTATATCTGGACGGCTATATCTATTGGAGAGCGAGCCGGTGGGTGTGCGTTATTATTTCAGCGCCCTTCCATTGAAGGTGGGAGCTTTACCCCATAATTGCCGGGGACCGACGTTTGAATGGCTGTTGCTTTTATCGCCCTCGGGCCATGTAATATTATTAGCGAATTTCAATTGCATTCATTCTCATTCTCATTTCGGTTGTGCCAGTCTACACCTGTTAGGCCTGTCTACGGCGGCCTTGGCTGGCCAGCGCGCATCGTATTTCGCCGGCGACGTGGACGAATCTGAGCACAGTCTGTGCGGCAGTAAGACAACACTTCGGATACGGTCTGCGGGGTGTCTTCTGGGAGAGTGGACAGGCGGCACACAGTTAAAGATTTGATTTTTGCACTGCCAAACAGAGCTCCATTTGTGTTTACAAATATTGACGAGTACAAACAATATTCATATGACGGATAGTGTGATATCTCTTGAAAGGGGATGCATTGTGGCGGAGTTGGATTTATCCAGATAAAAAGGAATACGAGTGCCATCGAGCAGGTAAAGAGCATGAGATTTTCAACACTTAGAGAAAAAGTAGCACAGTAAAACAAAACAACCATATTTAAATTTAAATAAAAACATACTATAAAATTTAAACAATAAAAAAAATATTTCAGTTAAAGTTACATTACAAATACAAGCATTAATGAAATTTAAGGGAATCTACATTTCCATAAACATACAAGTATTATACATATTAATAAAAATAATTTCAAATAAATAAATTGCATTTGTGCTTAATATGGTATTTTAAATATTTAAATTTTAAATTTATATATGAAATAGATTTAATTCAAAAATTAAATAATTTAAATATTAAATATATTTATGTATTTTAAATATAAATAAATATTTTGTTTTAATTATGAAATGTATTTATTAGATTTATAAAATATTATTTATTTTAAATAGTTAATTTCAAATTCATTTTTTTTTCAAATACAAACCCTTGGGATAAAATCTATTGGTATGTATACATATATACAGTTTTAAATCTAGGCATTAATGTACAAAATCGCTTTCATTATAATATAATTAAGGATATGTACATTCGCACATTGGATATCGGAGTAGCTAAATCTAGGCTCGATCGACCTAAGAAATTTCCACGAAAGTATGCTCTAGTTTATTTTCATTATTTATTTACAGCAACACCCCGCCCGCCACCCAGTTAATAGCTCATATTCGCTCCTACCGACAACGCATTGTTTTGCGAATTCAATTAAAGCAATCAAATTTCAAACCCAACCGACTTGGAGCCCCGCCTGGCACTAGCACCAGCGCTAACCCCGACGAGCTGGCGAAAGGAAAAAAAGATAACCCGTAAATAAATACATGTGCAATTGCCTTAAAAGGAGAGTGCAACTTGGCTGGCAGTGGCAGTTACAGACGCGACATGGTCGCGCCCGAACCGGAGTTACAGCAGGTGTCTGATTCTAGATCTCAGTCAATGAGTAGGCTGGATGTGGGCGCGGTACAAGCCACAAACGAGGGGTAGGTTGTTGACAAGGGAGCTAACAAAATAGAATACCCAAAACTATATCACTAACATATTTAATTCAGCAGCAATCGGCCAAAGGAAAACAAAGCATTTGATGGACAGTCGCTGGAGAATATAATCAGCGATAAGGGAAAGCCTCAGAAAGTTTCTGATAAACCAAAACCAGCATATAAGAGCCTGAAGCGTAGGCCAGTTAAAGCACACAGAGACAACAGACCTCTGGTGCTTGAGGAAAGGCATTCGCTTTCGATGTACGCCTAAATTATATTTCATTTGGTTCAAATAATAGTTCGAAAAATGCATGTTTTCTTTTAGAGCCGAGACAAAGAAGCGTAGGGCCAGCGTGTTCTCCGAAGAACGCCTCTTCATCCCCAAAAATCTGGCACGCAGCAATCTGCAACAGCGAGGCAGCTCGGGAGTGAATAGCTTTGATAAATTATCCAGTAACACAGAATATTGTCTACGCATGCTCAAGTTTCCCGTTGGAAATGGACGGGCCCGATTCGTGGCCAAAAAACTGAAGAAGGGACAGGTGGCTGGTGTACAAAGCAGCTCCAAGGAGCCTCCAGATAGCACACACCATCAGATGATCATGGCAGATGGCAATGGAAAGGATACGAGTATGGAAACGAAGGAAGCTGATGCTCTCAGAGCAAACCCCATGGCCACGAAGGAGGAGCCCATACATATGCCCAATCTAAATGCTGAAAGTGCTCGCAATGTTGATGATGACGTCGATGCTGATGATGGCATAAAGAACAAATCAGAAGTGACGGAACCAGCAAGAGGGCCACACTCAATGCAGGATCAAGGCCACAGCGTGATTAAAGTCAGCACTCAGTTGATGTCGGAGAAGGGGGTTCCGTCGGATCAGCCATATCCCTGTTTGCGTTGGCACAACCCAGACAACCAATTTCTCGATCTAAAAATGGGTCTCCTGAATGACCTGAGGAACATACCGGAAGTGGAAGCAACGGCAAACTACATCGAAGTAGAAAACAATGGAGAACGCAATAAAGGTGCCGAAAAATCTGAAAGACAGGAGGAACGGGTGCAACAAACTAGCGGAAATCTAACCGAAACCCAGCCGGAGCCACGCCAGCAATCGGAGATGGCGCCCTTGCTCATCCCAAACGACCCGATATATCCGTCCGTCCATCATATACAGCCTCCGCCCAGGGTTCAGGCCCGACCCGAGCCACAGGCTCATTATTATTCTGTTCCCGTAACCGTAAACAATCCCTTTGGAGTTACATCAAAAGCCACGTCCTCAGAAGCGGCAGGAGAACATTCTATACTCTGTCAGCGATTACTGCATCATAGCGTCCTGCCGAGTGTGGACCAATTTCAGCCAAGCAGCGCCTGCCACAACAGTGCCATGGATCTGACCAATCAGAGCTACAGGCAACAGCATGCGGATGGGGAAACGCCAGCACTTCCCAGTGCAATGGAGCATCCGTGGAGGCAGCAGAGCCTCGACACACATCCGGGCCACTCTTCGCAAACACAACAACAGCTACAGAATCTCTTTGATCAGCCGCCGCTCCAGCATCACACAATTCCGCACTTATCGGCGCAGCATCATCAGGTTTTGTGTCAGCAGAATATACTCGAGTCCATTGGTCAGCTGGAGAAACTGAAGGTCATGCACCAGAACCTGAAGCTCCAGGAAGAAAAGCAAGCACGTTTCTTCCACACAGCCCTCACGACCATTCTCAACGAGCGGGCGGACGATGAGCATATGTTTCAGTACAAAATGAAGCAAAGCAAAAAGGCAGAGGACAAGCTGAATGCGGACAAGGAGAAGCAGCAGCGAAAACTGAAAGCAGATCTCCAATATTTGGATGTGCGCATACGCAACCGACAGCGCATTTTGTCCTGGCGGCAGCATCAGCAACAATTGCTGTTGCAGAACCCATTCCATCAACAGCAGCCGCTGCAGCAGCAGCAGCAGCAGCAGCATCAGCCGAAGCAGCATCAGCATCAGCCGGAGCATCATCAGACTCAGCCGGAGCAGCATCAGCCGCAGCATCATCAGCCGGAGCAGCATCAGACGGAGCAGCATCAGACGGAGCAGCATCAGCCGCAGCAGCATCAGACGGAGCAGCATCAGACGGAGCAGCATCAGCCGCAGCTGCAGCCGGACATTCTGTACCACTACCCGCAGAGGCCGGTGGTAGTAGAGGAGTCCCACAAGCAGTATCATCAGAAACAGCAACAACAACAGCAGCTGCAGCAACATCAGAAGAAACAGCATCAGCAAGAGCAGCTGCAGCAGCAGCAACAGCAGCAGCAAAAGCAGCAACAGCGACAGCAGCAACAGCAACAGAAGCAACAGCAACAGAAGCAACAGCAACATCAGCAACAGCACCAGCAGCGCGTACATAAGCAACACCACACGGCCTTGTTTGAGCCGCCCCCCTACATATATCCATCATCCACCTCCTACAGGCTGCCTTTGAGTGTTGCAACTACCGCTGCCGCTTCAGGAAGTGAATTTCAGTCGAAACTCATGCCATTGCCTCCTCTGCAGAGAAAGCCTCCGTTCTCCAGCTGCGGGAATGCCAAAAAAAGGACCAAGACCCAAGATGTCGAGCTACGACGTGAAATCAACGAGCGTAGAGGAGTCGCATATCCGACTCCGTCCGTAGAAGTCCACTATCCCCCAGCTGCGGCCGCCACAGTCTCCTCCTCCACATACCCCCCTTATCGTTTTCAATACCTCTACAAACCATCTGCACCCGAAAAAAGTCAGGAGCAGAGAGCACCCGGCCACGACCGCGAGTACGGTTCGGCAGGGGAAACGGCATCTACTTTTATCACAAACTATGTCTCGAGCTATCTGAATGAGAATATGCGAACAAATAAGTGATAATATAAAGTTCAGTCGAATTGAATAGATTGTGATTATAGTATTAACGTAGAAATTACCAACAACACATAACATACATGTTACGTCCTAAGATAAATTCCGAATTTAGTAAAATATTTATACAAACTTAAGAATACCCATACATTTAAGAAATACAAGTGGTATGTACGTATACGAGTACTTTCATTCACTGTATATATATATATTTTTTTTTTACCATTAAATAAAATATTTTGCGGCAATTTCTAACCGACAAGTAACTTCCAACATCTAGTGTCTCTGGTCTGCATCCAGAGACAGAATGCCCAGCAGTTCATGAACATTACGTTACGTCAAACAATTAAAAAATATAGATAATATAATTCTATATAAATTTCGGGGGGAAAAAAGTATAAAGAGTAAGTCAAAGGATAAAGACTTACCTCACATGTTGTAGTTTTGCATATTATTTCCTGTTTCTTTTTTTTTTTTGGTTTTGTTTTTCCCCACACAAACGGATAAGCACATGAAAATAAAAACAAACATTAAAATACAAAAAACGAAAGGAAACGAATGTATAAATATGTACATATACATAAGTGACCTTATTATTTATGTATTTAATACATTACGTTTTATATATCGTTTGATATCGCTGTTCGCTAAAGAGAAAAAATTATTCTTTTACACCGAGTGTGAAAGAGAGCGAGAGAGAGAGAGAGCGAGAGGGCGGGACGAAATTTTGAAATACACTTGTAACAGTTCGATATTACGGGATGATGGACACAAAATATGGTTGCTCAAGTTCTTATAGTCTTTGAGATATAGGCGCTCATAAGCACGGACGGACAGACATTGCTATAGCGATTCCGAGGGCTCGACTTTATGGTGTTACATCCTCTTTCACCATGTATCTAATCTACCCTTCTAATACACTCTTCTTATGGCACACGCACTAAACCTCGTGGGTTCGATGCTGCCCCTAAGGGGGGGTAACTGGGAAAGCTGTGAAAAAAAGTGCATGCGTATGCAGCTCAAAGTTTTTCCTAGAAATCGGCCTTTGCTTCTGCTCGTTTCTCTCCCTTTCGCACAGAGGGCTACGAGAGCTGTGAGAAGAGTGCAGCAGTGTGGAGTGCCAGCTCAAAGAACGAGAGCAAACAAGACAGTGTAGATCACAAAGAAACTACAATATTGGTCAGGGCCTCTCCCACTCTCTTGGCGCTCTCTCTTTCTGTCTGGCAACATTCCCTGACTTTATGTGTGTGAAATTGTACAGTGCAGTGCAGAAGCAATTCTGTGGATTGTATCCCCATACAGAGAGAAGAGTTTACTGTACTTTAGATAGCCCTAAATATGAGGCAGTACTGTCCTCTACAACTAGAGATGGTAAACAAATACGAGCGGAAAAGTTGTGAACCACGGCAAGGGCCGCGGCTGTACTTTTACACCCGGGTGTACCACAAACTCAAATTTGATTCATATCTGTGGAAATACCTAGTTTCTTATATAATATATGACAATTGATTTTTCTGTCCAACCTTATGAGACATAGAAATTATACAGAGATTATATAAATTTAGTTCTCTGGGAGTACTCGTATATCAAGATAGCCTGAACACACAAATCCCTTCAAAATTGAAATGTTTTAAATGTTGTGGAGAGCACACAAAAGACACAGATAAACTGTGTGTCCCTCCCGTTTTCGGATCAAACAAAAATTGTACAGCTTTGGGAAGATGGCACCGCAAGACGTTGGAAATCCAGATGCTGTTGGCCTGATAGACCTAACCGATGAGAAGGCTGGCAAGTGCAGTTTTGTCATAGCCCTGAACAGCGAAGGTCAGCTCGAGATCAGTCCGAAGGGAGCCGGGGCCAGGGCCAGGACCAATGAGCCGGATCAACGCCAGGACAGGATGTGCAGTGGCGTCTGCTCTGCGGCGAACAAGACTAGAATGGAGAAAGTTCCGGTTCCGTCAAGCAACAAGCAGCGAATCAGCATAGCCTTAATCAACCACGATACAGAGGCATTCGACTCCCTGCAGGTGGCCTCAGACGTTGAATGCGAAAAGAATAGCAGCTCTGGAGAGCTAACGCGCTTCGTGAAGGTCTACAATGGGGAAGATCTAAGGAGCAAGCCCTCCTTTGTCGTCCTAGAGGATGCTCTGGTGCGCAAGCGCATTGAACATAAAACAGAGAGTTCAGTGATCAACGTCCAGCAGGAGACCGAGCCCAGAACAGACGACTTTCCTATGGATCCGTCACAAAACAGTGGGTGTAGTTTGCTCCCTCCTCAAACCCGCTTCAACACCGTGCACAATCTGAGAAACAGCCAGGAGGGAGAGGGAGCCAGCAACAACACACAGATGTCCGAGGCCATTCGTCTCTCCACAGCCACGAATAGTCAGCCAAGTGAGCAGCAAGCGATGGCCAATACTGCATCACATGTGACCATCAGCTTCGTTCCTGCATCGGCTTCGCAATCGGTGAACCCTATGATGTATCCCTGTCAGCCATATTTGAGCATGGCCCGTTGTCCCAGCGGCAACTACTGCCATTTTTGCCCTTTAAAGCCCCCAGTCCGTCAAGCCACGCCGGATCCCGGCTGTTGCACCTGCAGTAGCTGTTGTGCCATGAGGTCCGCCAGCAACAGTTTCAACAGTTTCAGCAGTTGCAATAGTTGTAGCAACAATTGCTGTCCGCTCAAGCCACCACCGGGAGCAACAGCAGCAGCAACGGGTCTACATATGCATCCTTCTCTGAACTATTGCCAGCCCAATCTTTATTCCATGCCAATGGTTGCGCAGCATGTGTTCGCACCAGTTCTACAGCCATCGGGACAGCAGCAGCAGCAGCAGCAACAGCAACAGCAGCAACAGCAACTGCAGCAGCAACAGCCACAGCAGCAGCAGCAACAATATCCCATTGCTGGCTGTTGGTATCCGTATCCGCCGTCTGCTTTAAGCCATTGCATGCATCAGTGCTTCTGTCATCCAATGACCACGACTGGCATGGGCTCCAACTGCTGTCGAATGAACGCTGCCTATCATCATCCGTGCCCCCATTGTGGATCATTCTGCAATAATCCACAGATGCAACAGAAGCCACAGCAACAGCAACAGCAGGTGGAATCGCAAAACGTGGCATGTGGCAACCAGCGGGAGCGACGCTATCTAGCCAAGCGTCCAAAAGAACCAGCTTCCAGCGATACATGCTCGTTGTCTGTGAATCGCGAGGGATTGAGAAGGATGTTCGGCCCGAGCCCGCAACAGCAACCGAAGTCCAAGCAGGACGAGCAGGTGAAGCCTTCGACCGGAAGGGTTCCAAAGGCTATTCCGGACAAAGAACCTCCCCGTTCATTGGCTGGCAATACCTTCGGCAAGAACGATTCAACATCGATTGTTGGCAAGCAATCCAATTCTCTTTATATGGCTCGCTTTGGGAGGACTTGCATGCTGATGAAACCCTCTGCCAGCACTCCGATGCCCCGTCTGCTGACCAGGCGCATCAGCCGGTACACCTCGGTGATGGCCTGGCCAACCAATCACAAATCAGAGCTATCCAAAGAGACCAGCCTTATCCAGAAAATTGACTGATAAACGGTGTTTTTTTTTTCATAAAACCAAATAAACATTGAATTGATCCGAAATTGGTCTTTTATTTGTTTGCTTTTAAGTAAGTATTATATTTCAGTTTGATCAAAGTCTTTAAGCTGGGTATTCTTTGGTGGCTGCTGTTGCTGTGGCTGTGGCTGTGCCTGTTGCTGCTGCGGTTGCGGTTGCGGGAATGGATTTTGGATCATATAATAGGGACAGTGGCATACAGAAGCCTGCATCTGCACCTGTGACCGGTGCTGCTGCTGCTGTTGATGGACACAATGTTGATTGGAATGTCCGTAGATAGGCGTACATTGGTGTTGCTGTTGACATTGGTTCCTCAGGGGACAAGCATTGGATTGCATTTGGTGTTGGAACTGCTGGAAGAAGGATGAGCCCAGAGATGGCGGCCTAAAATTCGAATCCAAGGGATCGATCTTGTACTTGTTGATGGTCTGCTCATAGAACCCCACTGGCATACTTCTGACGCTCTCCTTCAAATCTTCAGGGCGGTAGAAAGGATATTGACTACCGTACATTTGATTGGGATGGCATTGGACTTGATGAAACGATTGCTCTGGCTGATAGCTTTGGTGCATCTGTGTCTGATAGCTCTGTTGCATCTGCGGCTGATAGGCCCCCACTGGCATTTGGTTTGGCTCAAAGGAAATCTGCACTAGGGCCGGGGAGTGCGCTGACATTGTGGGTAGAATATCCCGCGGGTCTATCAGGCCAGTGGCGTTCGAACACACAGAGCAGTCGCAGCTCTGCTGGGAACAGGTATACGGATGTGACTGTGACTGGAACTCCATTCCCATCATAAACTCCGACTGATTTCCAACAAAGCTTCCCATTGAAGAGCTCTGATTGCAGCGCATTGGGGCAACTGCTGCGTAGTGCTGGCACCTAAAGTGGCACGACGGTGGCCCGTAGCCTGATTGGAGCTGATTATCCTCATCAGAGCAGGACGGGGTCTCATCGGTCAGGTTATGTTCGTCCCTAGCCGACGCTTCCTGATCATCCCAGCCGTCGCCCTGCAAGCTCCCATTGCTCCGTAGCGGTCTGGGCTGCATCAGGGTCACAGTTTCTGCACTACATTTATTGCACTGTTGTTTGCAGGCGACCAGGCAGCAGGAATATTGGCTTGGCTCCGTCAAAGTTTGCTCCGAGCCCGGAGGAGTTGTGGTCTTCGGACTGGCTTCAGCTTCATGCTGAAGGTTGTTCGATGTGGAGTCGCATTCGCAGCTATTCGCAATGGATGCGTTTAGCCCATTTTGGGGAACAGCGGATGGGCTTAGATTATTACTCCTGCTCTCTGAAGGAGAGAGTTGTCGTCTTCCCCTGCACTCAGGCCTTATCCCATATACCATGAATGTGCTTAATGTTGCCTGCTGATGGTTCCTGCGAGCAGGCGAAGCATTTCTCGGCGGAGGTTGCGTAGCTGCGGGTCCGGTAAATCTGCTGCGAACATCGGCATTCCTCATCACATTTCGATGCGAGAGTGGTTGCCCATTGGGGTGGCGTGGACATCTTACTCTTGACGATGGGTAAGGCCTGCACTCCTGTTGCGCTGAGCGACCCCGACATCCGAGTGTTGGTGGGCAGGGGGAAGCTCTTCTGGGCGCAGCTCTAGCAGCTGGACGAGTGCCTCTCGGGGCTCGACTTGAACCAGAGGCATCCCGATTTGAGGACTCCGGGGCTACAGGTAATTTCTTGGGCATTGCCTCTGTCACATTCGTCAAGGTCAGGTTCTGCCTGAAACGTTTCAACATGGCTAGAAGGCTAGAAGGCTGGTAAAAACATACTGGTAATTACTTACCATTCCTTTGCTTGACATTTGACTAGTGCTTTTCCACTATTTTTGTTGTCTAGGCGAAAAGGTACCAGCACCAACGGTTGTTGTTGTTGGTTGAAACTAAAAGATTGTCATGTACTCGATAGGTGCAACTTTTCTTAATGCTCGTAGGCAGCTCTCTTACCATACTTTCTTCTCGGGCTCCTCGCTTCCGCCAGAGACCTGCCGATCTACCACATTCCTCTCCAATCGATGGTCATTACCGAGACAGAGCTCGCACTCACTTTGATCCGTAGTAGTAGGAGTAGATCCGCAGTCAATAATCTCATTCTTTTTAATGATTAGTTTTTTGGCTACGAAGAATTTACCATCGAATGGTCGAACCGTACCATATCTGCATCTGATATTTGCTGGTGCCGATTTGGATCGTGACTTTATGTTTCTACTTTTTCGATGTTCTTTAGGTTTCATTTTCATTCGAGGACGTTCATCACTTTCCAGACCCTTTACTGGCACGCTACCACGATCACAATCGAGTTCCTCATCCGTTTGCTCTGATTTGCTGTCATCTGACATTCGTTTATCCACATAAGAACTATGGGATTTTTGTCTGCGATCTCCAGGGTGTCTATCGTTCCTTCGGCTGAGACTAGCTGAGACTCCACCTTCTGGTCTGCAAGCTGAACAGAAGCTATCATTATTCCGATCAGAGTTCCGATTATCGTCGCTTGTGGTGTTTGAGGCGCAACATTCTACGCTACAATCTCCAGGCAGACTGTTTGGGAGTGTGGACAGAAGAGAATCGTCCCTTTCACTGTCACATCTTGTCAAAACATTGCCAGAGCCAGAGAAGCCAGAAGTGGCTATGTCAGAGGCGGACCTCTTTGATTCGCCAGCTTTTAACTTGCAACATGCCGGTGGCTCTCTCTGGCCATGGCCAAACATCGGTGATTGAACAAATGGACACGCATTACAGACTCGCATACGTCTACAGATCATATTCGTGGGCCAATGATGGCATCCGGGCTGGCATCCGGGCTGGCATCTGGTCTGGCATCCGGTCTGGCATCCGGGCTGGCATCCGGGCTGGCATCCGGTCTGGCATCCGGGCTGGTCTTGAGTCATATCTTCTTCGAACGCCACATCATTCGGTTCGTCCTTCTTTGAGGATTTTAACCTCTCCTCGAACTGCCGTATCTTCTGGGTCTTCAAAGGAGTTTTTCTTCGCTTATTTTTAAATGCTGCAGCAGCACTCGGTGCTGCATTACCCTTCACAGTCTTACCGTCAACACTCCTCACACTTGTGGACTTCTCAGCAAAACATCGGCACTCGCATTTCTGCATCGTCGTCTGCTTCTTCGGGGCATTCTCGGCCTCAGCACGCAAATGCTGTCGGATCTGTTCCAGGCAGGATAACAGAGGATTCGACAGGGCTTCCTGCTCCATGCTATAGCCAGTTTGGGTGCAAGTCTCACAAACAGAACATCGCTTGGCACCTTTAAACCTCCTCTCCGTGCTCGTCCTGGCTTTCCCAGAGGTCTCCTTAAGGTCCGCCAAATGGGAGGATGTCGACTGGTCGATAAGCGTGTTCTGATTGATGCCAGGAATCACTGTGATGCACATTGGGGGGAGGGCAGGCGGGCTACCCCCTTTTCGACCCTGTTCTGCCTCGACAATAGATCCGCACTTGCAGATGGTATTGTTATTCATACTGGGGCCAGCGGGTAGCGAATTCCCAAACAGGTTTTGCGTACAAATGGGGAAAGGTATCTTGACCCGAAAGGGGACATTGCACTCGAACCTATAAGGCAGAACAAAACTGTATCCCTAGGCTTCCTTAGCTCGATATTCCACCTATCCCACTTACCAAACACCATCAGTATTAATACTGTCCACCGCCAACTTTGCAGGTCGTTTTTTAGAGGGATTTGACTTGATTTTCGTACGCTTCGGCTTGGTCTTGACCAAAGCCTTTTCATCTGCCCCGGAGAGGGGCTTTGTACTTGCCTTCTTGTCTGTTAGTTCCTGGCAAGTCGTCTTCTGAGAGCCTTTCCTTAAACCCGAAGACGTGAGGGGACCTTTTTTGTCCCCAATCATTTTAGGCCGTGAACTTTTTCCAGACGGCATTCGTAAGAAACTGCCTTCATTTGTGGAACTTTTCTGCGGTGAGACCTTTTGAGAGCCTCCATCATGTGGAAAATTTGCTTTCATTATCTGCAGGGCTCTTTGCTGAACCGAAGCTGTATACGATTTACTTGATTGTGTGCCATTTTTTCGCACAGAAGGATTACTGGCATCTTTGAAGTTATATCCGTCATACTTCTTTGCCTCAACAACATTACCGGATTTATCCACAAACATAAACACGGTGCCAGGCCTGGTGTTTTCAACCTTTTTCTGCCGTGAATACAGACACGAGCTGGCCATTAGCTGCGTCATTTGGTCATGGCATCCACCGAACTTTCTATTGAAATTACAAGTTTCTCGATTAAAATAAAAACAGACGATCGCTGGGTATCCAATCTGGTTATTGCTTTAATCGAAAATCTGCAAGTTGCAGAATATTTCGGAGGGCAGTTCCACTTTCTGGCACTCGCTCGGGAAGTGCCGAAAATGTTGCGATTAATTTAGAATTTAGAAAATATTATTTTGACCGAAACTACATAAGATATTATTTGACAAAAAACTCCTATATATCTCATATCACACACCATATTTCAATCGGGATTCGATCCCATAGAAAATGCCATACAATCAAGAAAATAATGAAATATGCACTGATCTATTCGATTGTGTGTTTAGAGTTTTGTGAAGCGCAAGAAGGCGTTTACCATTGAAAGGCATGCTCATCGGCACGGATACAGATTCAAACCTGTTCCAGAAGTCCATTCGCACATTCAATTAATGGCTCGAAATGAAAACGAAATAGTTCACAAATGGTTTGCCGCAAATGGTCAGCTAGTTACTAAACAAAATACTCCGAGGTGGAATATAATTTCTACATTTCAAGTAGGCTGTACATGATACGTCAGGTATTTTATAGATTCCTATATCAGATTCAGTCCGAATCGAATCACTCATTAAAACAACATACAACAATAAGCATACAACATGTCAACGCCTGAACGTAAAATCTATACGATCGAAACGCGATTGGCCAAGAAGCGCCGCCAGATGGCCCACGGCCAGAGAGCATGCGGCCCCGAGTCCTCCATTGAGGGGCCACCACTGGCTAAAAGGCGCAAAGGAGCCCCAGTCAAGCGAAAGCCAAAGCCAGTGAGACGCAGCGATCCGCCCTCGGATCGTGTAGAACAGAGAGGACGAGGACAAGGACAAGGACAAGGACAAGGACGAGGACGAGGACGAGGAATACCCAACAAAGCCGCTAAGAAAGTCCTCATGAAGCGGAACACTCCTGTGAAAAAACGCTTACCATCGAAAAGGGCTGGGGCCCCGCGTCCCACCAAAAAGGAACAACCGAAGTCGAAGCAAGCAACGACCAAACCAACAAAGACTTCGTCAAAAACCCGTAAACCAAAACCAAATGAATCAATCACAAAGAAAATTACAAATAAACCGATGGATAAGACCGGAGCGGAGAAGGAAGCCAAAACGGAACCAAAGAAGAAACCGAAATTCCGGTTCCGCCCTTGGAACCCGGCAACCCAGACCGACGCTACGCTTTCCGGCGAAAGAAATCCAGAAATAAATCCAGAGCAACCAGACGGGATGGTTAAAAATGAAATCGAGATGACAACGGGGATGTCCTCGTTGCCCCAACCCTCAGATTCCACAGGGAACCACAGCGATCCACACGGATGCTAAATTACATAGTTTGGAGCAACAGAAATAGTTCACGATAGTTCGGCGAATGATTTGGCGGGGCAGCTAGTAAAATATAAAATAAATTTAATGTTGAAAACCAATTTCAGACTTTATTGTTGTGTTATTGTTGACTTTTTGGCATCAATTTTAACCGGAAGATCGGAAGAATTGCAAAATTCCAGCGGCCAGCGTCGCGGCATCATGTAGCAGCAGCTGGGGCAGCAGTGCGACAAATGGGGGCACATATTTTGCTGTTAAAAGGATGCTGCTCCCGGCATCGGTTGGAAAAATTTGGACGCGGGTTAGGTTGCTGTGGCTGTGGCTGGGGCTGTGGCTATTGATTGGGCCTCTGATTTTGCTGCTGCTGTTGCTGCCGTATCACCTTTGTTGCTGCTGCAGGTGGTGATTTGTTTCTGATGCTGGACTGCAGGCCCAACCGGAAGAGGCATTCCATCCCAACTCGCAGGAATACGCGAGGAGTGGCTCAAAGAACTGACAGCTATGAAGTGCGACACGGTGTTCAAGGGGTGCATACGGAACGGATACATTAGTGCATTGAGTGTGTGCCTAAATCAGAGGCGCCTCTACGGGATATTCGAACAGATGCCCCCGGAAGAACTGGAGTGGATGGACTTTCCAGACACGACGAATCATACGTCGTCAAATCGTGCCACAGCGACCCTTTGATACGTATAGGAGCATGCCACAGGGGGAGATGACTGCTGCTGCTGGCACGGAAGCTGCTGCTCGGTGCAACATTTCTGCTGCTGCTGATGCTGCTGGCATGGAAAGTGCTGCTTTTGCTGACAAGGAAGTCGAGAAGGTCGCTGTTGCCAAGGATTTTGCTCCTGTTGATCGGGAAACTGAAATGGCGGCTGTGCTGAGTGGGATAGCATCCGTACATTGGCTCGTGGCGCTGCACAACAGATGACTGGCTTTGGGGCATACGCCGGGGCTGCTGCTACATACAGGACGGTCCACCCTGTTGCTGCGGTGCAATGTTCCTGGACGACGTCTGTCCCTCAGAAGGGTCTTCTCGGTCACCTCGCAGGTGGTGAGAATGTTTTCCTTGCCCGCGTTGTCAGAGCCTTGAATGCCTTGCCGTGAATACAGACACGAGCTGGCCATTAGCTGCGTCATTTGGTCATGGCATCCACCGAACTTTCTATTGAAATTACAAATTTCTCGATTAAAATAAAAACAGATTATCGCTGGGTATCCAACCTGGTTATTGCTTTGAGAGAAAATCGGCAAGTTGCAGAATATTTCGGGCCGAAAATTTGGCGTTTAATTTAGAATTTAGAATCTATTATTTGGACCGAAACTACATAGGATACTATTTGACAAACAAACTCCTTTTTTGATATACTTTTATTTTTTTATTATAATTAGGATTGTATTTGGTAGTTTTTATTATAAAATAATATCACTGATACAAATTATGTCGTTTGCTGTTACTGTTAGAGCAACTTGTACAACAGTCACAGAAAAATTAGGATAATTTAAAAAAAAAACCCCTGTTATCAAGGTCACAGAATTTGGATGAGGATATTATTTGGTTCAATTATCTGTCCAGGTTTTCTAGGGCAGAGGTCCTCTTGGATGATTGTTGGGCAGGTCGACTGGGTGTATTCTGGCCAGCCTACGCCGGTATCTGGATCTGGCAAGACGCCTCGCCAGTACATTAGGGTGGCACTTCGCTTGATTGTTGATAACATCACCAACAAGTGGTACGTTAAGGTCCTTGGCGATGTCCCGGTTACGGACATACCACTCAGCTCCGGAGGATTTACGCAGAAATTTACTCTGGAATGTCATGATCCGCGCAAGGTTAGACTTGGCGGCAATGTGTATGGGATGCCGTACTTCCAGGCAGGGGCTTGTATGGCTTTGTGGATCATGACTTTGTTTTTTAAACTGAGCTTGTGAAGAAGCTGCACCATTCTGGACTACACGGAAGGTCCTCTCCGTCAGAAAGCTTTTGATAACTTCATACAGCTGAGGGTTGAGCATCGTTTTGATCTTGGCGAGTAGTCCCTGGTGCCACACCCGGTCGAAAGTCTGCGCAATATCCAGGTAAGCAGCTATAGTGTACTGCTGGTCTTGTAAACCGTCTATCATGTGTTCCACCACCCTGTTCAGCTGTTCGGGTGGGCAGTGCTGAAGGGTGAACCCAAATTGGTAGTTTGGCATGGCTGTTTTGACCAGCGACGACTCCAGTTCCCTTTGTAGGATGCAGCGCACAAACATTTTTCCAAAAGTCGACAAGAGACTAATTGGTCTATGGTTCTTGAGGTCTTCCGATGGTTTTCCTGGCTTTGGCAACACGATTATGTGGGCACATCTCCAGGCTTTTGGGAAGCAAGCTAATCTAAGCGACGCATTAAAGATTAGCGCTGTTTGGTAGCGCCTTTGCCACAACATTGTCAATCCTATCATCGCCAGGGGCCTTCTTGGACTTAAGTTGCTTTTCTACTAGATGTCCTCCGGAATGGGGTGAATCTTTCGTCCAGATTAGTCGCAAAAGCCTCCACTCTGTCCATTGCTGTTCTAGCCCATGAGCCGTCAGACCTCCTTACCGGAAAGCGGGGTGTAAGTTGCCGCTTGTAGCGTCCTGTCAGCTTCCAAAGGGCGTAGTTTGAGTGTACGTCTGCTGCAGCCTGCGATAGCAGTTTATCCGCGGCTTCGGTCCTCTGTGTCGCCAATTTCTTCCTTACGCGGTTAGCCACTCTCCAGAAGACTCTGTCAACCTACGGGTCATGGGTGCGGTGCGTATGTACTCGCGCCTGAGTCGTTTCTTGAGCAGAAGAAGCCCTTCGACCTCACTCGAAGTGCCGCCTCTGTGGTTTCCAGTCTGTGACGTTCGACTGCCATGAGGGCCGCAGGTGGTAGAAGCAGCAGAAGCGTCACAGACTTCTACAGCACCTACATCCTGAGCGGTCCTTAAATATGTGTGTAAGTCTAGCGAGCTACCCAGAATTTCCTTGAACAGGGGAATGTTTTGAGTTGGGCTTCGAAAATTCCTATGGATATTAAGTAAATATCTACATTAAGTAAATATATCTATATATGTATCTATACATATGTATATGAAAATCTCGTGTCACGGATCGAACTATTTTGATACATTTTTAGTTTATTAAATATTAATTTAATAAGTTTATTAATTATTAAATATGCACTGATCTATTCGATTGTGTGTTTAGTGTTTTGAGAAACGCAAGGGGGCGTTTACCATTGAAAGGCATGCTCTTCGGCACGGATACAGACTCAAACCTGTTCCAGAAGTCCATTCGCACATTCAATTAATGGCTCGAAATGAAAACGAAATAGTTCACAAATGGTTTGCCGCAAATGGTCAAATGGTTACTAAACAAAATACTCCGAGGTGGAATATAATTTCCACATTTCAAGTAGGCTGTACATGATACGTCAGGTATTTTATAGATTCCTATATCAGATTCAGTCCGAATCGAATCATTCATTAAAACAACATACAACAATAAGCATACAACATGTCAACGCCTGAACGTAAAATCTATACGATCGAAACGCGATTGGCCAAGAAGCGCCGCCAGATGGCCCTCGGCCAGAGAGCATGCGGCCCCGAGTCCTCCATTGAGGGGCCACCACTGGCTAAAAGGCGCAAAAGAGCCCCAGTCAAGCGAAAGCCAAAGCCAGTGGGACGCAGCGATCCCTCCTCGGATCGTGTAGAACAGAGAGGACGAGGACAAGGTCAAGGACAAGGACGAGGAATACCCAACAAAGCCGCTAAGAAAGTCCTCATGAAGCGGAACACTCCTGTGAAAAAACGCTTACCATCGAAAAGGGCTGGGGCCCCGCGTCCCACCAAAAAGGAACAACCGAAGTCGAAGCAAGCAACGACCAAACCAACAAAGACTTCGACAAAAACCCGTAAACCAAAACCAAATGAATCAATCACAAAAAAAATTACAAATGAACCGATGGATAAGACCGGAGCGGAGAAGGAAGCCAAAACGGAACCAGAGAAGAAACCGAAATTCCGGTTCCGCCCTTGGAACCCGGCAACCCAGACCGACGCTACGCTTTCCGGCGAAAGAAATCCAGAAATAAATCCAGAGCAACCAGACGGGATGGTTAAAAATGAAATGGAGATGACAACGGAGATGACCTCGTTGCTCCAACCTTCAGATTCCACAGGGAACCACAGCGATCCACACGGATGCTAAATGACATAGTTTGGAGCAACAGAAATAGATCACGATAGTTCGGCGAATGATTTGGCGGGGCAGCTAGTAAAATATAAAATAAATTTAATGTTGAAAACCAATTTCAGACTTTATTGTTGTGTTATTGTTGACTTTTTGGCATCAATTTTAGCCGGAAGAATTGCAAAATTAGGTAGGAAAAGCTCTTCCATCGTATTGTGGGCCGTAGAAGCGTACCCTGCACAGATATTTCCTGGTTTACCGGTTGACTTGTATCTATATCTGTACATGGTACCCTAAAAACAATTCGATTGGAACCGTTAGCACGGCCAGCGTCGCGGCATCATGTAGCGCATTTTGCCATACCGCTGGCAGCCGCAGCTGGGACAGCAGTGCGACAAATGGGGGCACATGTTATGCTGCGACTGATTTTGCTGTTGAAAGGATGCTGCTCCCGACATCGGTCGGAAGAATTTTGCACCCGGGTTGGGTTGCTGTTGTTGCTGATTGGGCCTCTGGTTTTGCTGCTGCTCTTGTTGCTGCCGTATCAGATTTTGTTGCTGCTGCAGGAGGTGCAGCAACAGTTGCTGCTGCATCTGGCAGGGAGAAGTGGGTGACTGCTGCTGCTGCTGGCAGGGTGGGGGAGATGACTGCTGCTGTTGCTGGCACGGAAACTGCTGCTCGTTGGAACATTTCTGTTGCTGCTGGCATGGAAACTGCTGCTGTTGCTGCTGCTGGCATGGGAATTGCTGCTGCTGCTGTTGCTGGCAAGGAAACTGTTGCTTTTGCTGACAGGAAGGTCGAGAAGGTCGCTGTTGCCAAGGATTTTGCTCCTGTTGATCGGGAAACTGAAATGGCGGCTGTGATGGCGGCGGATATGAACAGGGGGGCATCATCAGACAGGATCCAGTCGCATGCAACGGTTCCTCCTGCTGCGGCTCTTGATACATCGCCGAGCATGAGCACGAGATATTCAAGGACTGATCAGTGGTGTAGCCCGTATCATCACCACCCATATCGTCTTCCTTGTCCGAGTCCTTGCTTGGCCAATACGGCTCTTCGTTGCCGATCTGATCGTTCACATTTGTCTGCTGGGTGGCGTTGTTCAACTGGAGCTGGACCTGTGCTATCTGGGCCTGCGCCTCCTGCATCTGTTGGTGCAGCTGCTGGGCCAGCATTTCGGTCAGTCCACAGCAGCTGGGCTGCTGCTGCTGCTGTTGCTTTTGTTGCTGCTGCTGCTGCTGCTGTTGCTGCTGCTGCTGTTGCTGCTGCTGTTGCTGTTGATTGTACATGTTTTGCGAGGGGTTCTGAGTGGGATAGCATCCGAACATTGGCTGTTGGCGCTGCACAGCAGATGACTGGCATTGGGGCATACACCGTGGTTGCTGCTCCATACAGGACGGTCCACCCTGTTGCTGCGGTGCAATGTTTCTGAACGGCGTCTGTCCCTGCTCCGATCCCGGCAGCGCACCCATGAACTGGGAAGCCCCCTGCCCCGACGACCATAAAGCCTTCTCATTACAATCGCATCCGATGCTGTGGCAGGGAGGACGAAAGCAAATAAAACACCATTTATAGCTTTATCAATAGGAATGGGAATTACCCTAGCAGAACGTACCTCAGAAAGGTCTCCTCGGTCACCTCGCAGGTGGTGAGAATGTTTTCCTTGCCTGCGTTGCCAGAGCCAGTGCCCGTGCCACCAGAATTAAATCCGGTTTGCTCGAACCACTGATAAGGCGCAGGCCGATTGCGCGTGGGATATTCCCCACGGAAGCACGGAAAGATCTTCATACACGGCTGGGACATGGCACTTGCTTCAGTCTTGTCTTCAGCCCCAGCCCCAGCCCCAGCGGTTGCGGTGGGGTCCACTTTCTCCGGCTGTAAGGTCTCGTCTTTATCCTCATTGCCAGCGACGGGCTTTACTTCACCTGGCTGTGGAGCAGACGCCACGGACTTGTTTTCATCGGCAAGTCCGGCAGCCTGCTCTATGTCCTGGTTTACTGTATCTGCTTTCTTGGCCGGCTTATCCAGTTTTGCAGGGGCGCTCACCATGACGATAGGCGATTGGGGCGACTGGGAAGTCCTCTTGTACTGCTGGCTAAGATTGGAGTCTGTTCGCATGGGAAACTTTCGGGCGGTACTAGTGTTGCTCATGGAGATAGAGGGTCTTTCGTTCTTAAAAGTGCGCTCCCCAGCATCTTTGCCTTGGGCCCTGATTCTCACCCTCCTGGGAGTATCCTTGCCGGACACCTCTCTGACCGGTATCCCCACGGCCATGGGCACGGGCCCCCCAAACGCTGTCCTTGACTGCATGGGCACCGATCTATTCAACACCAATTCCGACGGTCCATTCTGTTCCACCCTGGATCGGTGTCGAATACGGCGCACATTGCCGTTTGTTGTGGGCGAGATCCGTGATGGGGACGCGGGCAGAGTCTGCGCCAGGTCCCGAAGCAGCTGCATTCCGATCCGGCTGCGTGTCTGGGTGTGGGATGTGCTTGACCTCGTGAGCGCGGATTCCGGATAGACGATGGGAGTGGCCCTTCGGGTGCGTCCACGTTCGGGACTCGTATTGCTCCGATAGGGACCAGCGCCGCTTGTCATTGTGCCGCTTGACCTTACGCCGCTTGTCCTTGCGCCTGTCGTCCTTGCGCTGGCACCGTAGCTTTTGTTGGGGGCCATTCAACCAATTCTACAATACTTCCGTTCACACAAACAAATTTAAGTTTTCCGACATCATACGATGAATTTTATATTATATTCAAGTTGATAGGTTTCGAAGAGGACTAGGATTTGGTAGATCAAGCAAAACAAATGTCTGGGAATACAACTCGATAACGTGTTGGTTTGGGGAGTGGTATATAGTACATATTTCTTGGATTTTAAGCTGAAATTTTTTAAAACTTGCAAAAACGAGGGCGACCTTTTTATAAACCCCAAAAAAACAGTGAATAAAACTCACCTTTTCATTCATAATTGTGCACTCCTTTCTACAATATTTTTCCCGCGCGCGTATTTACCGTTTTTGCCGCTTTTTTAACGCTTTTTTAACGCCGATGTCAGCTCCGCACACATAATTTGTTCACGTAAATTGATTCCAATAAGAACACAAGGAGAGGTGCCCCTCCCACGATATTTACATTTTTGATCAGAGAGAGAGAGGGACAGATTCCAAGATATGCAGTGCCGCACCTTATACTAGGGCGACACCTACAACGAGAGCGCGCCTTCGCTCCTTCTTTACGCTTTTTCCTTTTTCTCCTTGCGCCTTCGTGTAAGAGGAAAGAGAAAAAACTTCGTGCCTTTTCTGCATCATTCTTACACACGCACACACACCACAGCGCAAGATCACGCGACTAAACGAACACTTTGGCCATGGAAAAAGTTTATTAATGTATCAAATAATATGCTTATATCAAATATATAGCACTTGATTCACTTCACTTGAAAAAAAACAAATTATTTTACTCTGCCTTTATGCCTTTTCCATGCCATTTTGCGCGGGTTTGCCCCGCCACTCGATCACTCACTTTCTTTGCTTTTAAACGAAACTGTTGGGACATATTTAATGTTTATTCACTTCTACACTTCACTGCACAGCAGCGCGACACTTTTTCCGCAGGATTTTCCACCATTTTTCGCATTTTCGCGGCCGCAAACGCGGAGCGGAGCTGACTTTAAACCGCACGCCTCGAACGAATGAACAAATGAATGAGAGCGAGACAGATGCGTACGTGACTTGGTGTTCGTTCCAATTCCAAGGCTTCCAAGCTCTCTTTCGGGGTCTATTCCTAATTGCTCTCTCATTCCATCCTCTCTGGCCACCGGCGCCGCATCCTAACTGCATGCCTATTGGAAATTTGCATTTGCTTTTGCTCAGCTTCTCGCTGCTTGCAAAAACTGCTGCCGAAGGAAAGTGAAGGAGAGGCTCAATGGAATGTTTGTCTCGCTCTTTCGAATGCAAAGGGAGATCGAACAAACACCTGTGGGTGGGGGTGAGAATACGAATGGTTTGCCGCGCCTCAAAACATACCAACTCGTTTATCTGTATACAAGAAAAACAAACCATTAGACTTAGTTTAAGCAATCAAGAACTTTTTAAAATGTTGTCATTTTATCTTAGACTAGATGCTTTGTTTTTGTAGTTCTCTTAGCCTTGGCCATGAGTTATGTTGGAGCTGTAATCGTGAGGAGCTAACAATTGTCGTAGTTGTCTTTTCAAAATGTCCGCATGCATACGGGATCCGCCTCAGACTCTGATGTTCTGCTATAACTGCAAGGCGGTGTATAGAGGGTAAGTAGAAATAAAATATAGGAGCACTTTTCTCAGGCCCTGTTTTTTTTTCAGATTTCCTTTCAGGCCATGCCCCCAATGTTGCGCTAGATATCCGTTCCAGCAGCCCCTCTACTGTCCGGAGGAGTTCGAAAAGTTCTCGGCCATGGGCTCTCCATGCTTTCTGTGCAAACAGCCGGATTGTCCACCCGAGGAGGATGGGTATGAAAAATGTCCGGAAGATGCCGCAGCAAAGGGAAAGGGTAAAAAGGTGACTTTAGCAATCAACAAAAAGGGGCAAAAACAGAAAACAGAAAAACCGAAGACTAAGGCCGGAACTAAACAGACTGTTAGGGCAAACAATGAACCAAAGCGGACGGCTAAAAAGACGCCTGGGAAAGGACAAGGACCGTCTGGCATGCCTGGTAAAGGAGCTAAGAGTCGGGCTGCCCAAGAAGGATCATCTGAGCAGGGTACGGTTCCTAGCACTCAGGTGATGCAAGGAATGACTCCTTGTCAGTGTGGTGTTTACCCTCAACAAGGAGGAATGCCTCTTCCGGGGACACAATTCCCAATACCCAGATGTCGAATAGGACCATTCGGAGCTATAGGACCTGAAGGATCGGCACCAAATACAGGGTATGCAGATCCAAGATGTATGCCACTGGGGTGTGGCGCACAATGTATGACCTGTTGTGGTCCAAAATGTATGCCAGGATATTGTTCACAAGGTATGCAGAGATATGAGGCTGATGGACAAACATCAAATATTTACGGAGCTCCTGGACCCGTAAGATCACCGTATTCCCAGCCTGGTTTTCCCAATGGACAATATGGGGCTGGCACGCCTCCTGGATGTCCCCCAGTACGGGCAGCGGGACTGCCCAGCGAACGTGGGCAACAGTTTGATCCCTGCACGGGGGAACTCGTGTGCACATGTCGAGCTCGGTGCGCTTTGTATTCAAGGAAGTCGCCACAAAAGAATGAGAGCTATGGAGAAGGCTGTGATCAGTACAATCGAAAAGTGGAAGCTTTTCAGCGGTGAGTTTCCCGTCAGAGTCCCATTCAAAAAAATGGAGCTCTAGCTCTAGCCACACATAGTACAAAATTAAATAGCCCAAGGTCCGAGATCGAGGCATTAATCTGTCCAATGTCATCTGCAGCGTGCTCAAATCGCTGCAATTGTGTTATCCAGCGAATGGTTTGCAGGACTGCTGTCTCCAGCTGCCCATCGACCTAGAGATGGCCAACAAGACGGGTGAGGGCGAACCCAAGCGGACGAAGAAATCGTCACCGAAACGCAAACCTTCCAAAAGCGATACAAATGGCAAGAAGGCTGCCTCCGCTGCAGTTGCACCCGATGACAAATCAAACGCTTCAGTGTCGCCTTCCACCCAACCGGCAAGTGGGGAAGACACAAAGGCTGTAACGCCTGACGCATCTAATGCTAATGCTCCCTGTGCGTGTCCCCCTGCAGTCAGCTCGCGACCATCGATGCGCTCCTTCTGCTGCAACACCAGCTGCATGATAAGGTCAGTTATCCCTGAGAACATTAGCCATTAAGATCAATCCCATACAGCGAGGCCTCTCCACAGTTCCGACGAATGCACGCAGACGGCATCGGGAAAGTCCAATAAGTACCCATCTGATTGCACGCCAGATCAGGGCGAACCAGCAGCAGAACCACAACCACCCAGTTCCTGCCAAATCTGCTGCAATGGCAACTGCAATTCCTGCTGCTGGCCCTACTACTACTGCTACAACCCATACACTGGCTGCTACTACTGGTACCCGAATCCCAATTGCTGCAATGGCTGCCAAAGTTGCTGTGCGCCGAATCCTCTGGAGAAGATACCCGAAAAACCCCAGGGCAAGGAAGCAGCTCCAGGAAAAAGACCATCAGCAGCAGCAGCTGCCGCTGCCGCAGGGCCCAAAGGAAAGAAGAAAAATGATAGGAAAGTGGGCGGCGGGCCAGAGCTGATGAAGAAGAACAATCTCTACGACACAAGAATGAGCTGCAACCAGAGCTTGAGCCTGGGCTGTAACCAGGGCTGTAACCTAATACGCACCATCCCCAAGCGCCAAACTGCAGCCGCCCACATCAGCCATTTGAGGCAGGCCCTTATCCCTGGCTATTCTCCCACGGCGCAGCCCCGTGACTACTCCCCCTTTGGCCAGATTGGAGTGGCCGGCAGAATTGGAGGCAAAAACTGTTGATCCAAGTGTCGGGTGTAGCAGGCCGACTCTCAGATCTCGCTTGGACGTGAAATGTGCACGACTCGGACGACATGTTCTCCTCTATGTCTCGAAATTAAACGTTGAATACTTTTTTACCACCTTAAAGAACTCTTGAAAAACACACCCTTCCGAAGAAAAATCGAGTTTTTCTACTGAAAATCCCTCGAAATATTCGTAGGTTACACAGAAGTAGAGATCTGGGGCTATGAGAGCTGTAGCACCCTATGCCAACCCAGATTATGCTGTACTTTCTTTTACAATAAGTTCTCGTTTTTAGGTCGGTTTAAAAAAGGGACCGTAGGGACTCTAATTTTTATAATACAAATTAGTTTCTGATTTTTAATAGAGTTTAATTTTGAAATATTGAAGAACTATTTTTATTTTCAATTTGAAAAATACTAATTAAGAATAAGAGTTATAAAACAATTTATTTCCAAAAGAAAATTGAAAATAAATATGTATATGTATATATTATAATAATAAAAATGATGAAATAAAAACTTATTTCGGTTTTTTATTATTAAAATAAGTAATAGCTCCTATTCTTAATTAAATTTAATTTTAAAAATTAAATTTTGTTGTTTCAATTTGTATTATACAAATTACAAATATTTACAAAACATAAGTATTAATTATTATGCGTGATGGAAATATAGTGCAGTTCATTTTAATAGTATTTTGTTTATTAGTTCAAATCTGATCTGTATTTGCTGTACCGTTTATACACTCGTGAATGTTCGTTTCCTTTGTGTACATATATTTATAGTATATATAATGTACATATATTTTATATATAGATTTTTTTCAAAAGATTTGTGGGTTTCTTTTTTGTTTTGTAGAAAAACTTAAAAAGTTCCTTTTGTCCTTTAAAATTAAATAGGCTTTTCAAGGGTCGTGTTTGTGGTTTTTAGAAAAAGATACCTAACTAAAAACTATGAACATAGCACATTGTAAATATGTTTGTTTTTTTTTTTTTTTTTTGTGTAGTGCAGCTGCAGCCATAAATATTGTATGCTTGTAATCGTACGAGGGGGAGGCGGGGAATATTCGATTGTTAAATATAAAAAAAAAAAAATATTACACTATATAGCTATAGGGGAAGGATGGATGAATATTCCAGCACATGATATATATATGGGTATGGGTATAGATATGGGGTTTGGGGTTTTCGGGCTGGGGCTTAAACTCAGTTTTGGCTTGCATTT